GTTTAATGTTGCAGCCTCCGACTGAGCGATCAGCTGCTGAAGTGTTACTGAAGAGCGTTATCTGTTTAGGTTTGGTTGTAACTGGAGAGGACTTATTATATATATATATATATATATATATATATATATATATATATATATATATATGTATATAGGGGCAACTTCTTGAGCAATGTTTGCAACAACAGGAAACTACTGTACGTGTGACAAACAGGGCAACTACTTTTACTTTTCTAAACCAGGATCACATTTAATCTGTAATGCTTCTGTGCTGAGAGGAAACTGATAAGATGTTGTATAGCACAAGGTTTCATTGCAACTCTAATACACACAAAATGTTCTTTTCACAAAAACGTGATGAGGACCGAGCACAAAACTGGCCTGAACACTTGTTTTACTTCATGCATGTGTTAACGTTGCTTTTCCACGGGATGTAGTCAGCCGCAATGGATTCTCTCATTTGAAAATAATACATTTCCATCCGAGAATAACACATCCAGCACATTAAGTAGGATCCTGGCCTTAGCAAAGAAAAGTTAGCATCGGTACCTGAGCAATGCTTCCCATTAATGCTACCTCAAATATTACCCAGGTGTCATAACTCGAAGGCCCATGATGCACGAGGAATATTTAAGAAGCTAACAGAGGCGGGGAGAATATGAGAAAGAAAAATGATCTAAAACTGGGTCAAAACCTAAGATAATATTTTGTTGCGTTAAGGAACAAAAGAATAAGTAAGGAGGTCTATCTAATACATTGCTTCATAATGTTGCCCACTAGGTTTGTTATTATGTTTTGTGAGGGCCAGTTAGCAAAGACCAGTGTAACAGCAGTTGAACAGCAGTCATCCCAGACTGAAAGAGAGCCTAAGAGTGATAGGTATTACCTTTCATACATATGTATCTACAGTACACACCTCTGTGGTCATGTATATACCTCGTAACTTCAGATAAAGTAATAACTTACTTTTTCTGTTGTTTTTTTTTACTATTTGCATTTTCCCTTGGCCCATGAAACCAGTCATGCATTGGCCATTTGTCTGTCAGTTTCTTTACATCAAACTGTTCTCCGCATGATAGCGAGGGTTGTGTTTGTGTCTGACCGATCGCTGGCTACCCCACCCCACCCCACCAAGCCTGCAGAACCTCGTCACCTTAGCTCATCGACCTACAACAGCAGAAAGATGCTCACAGTGCTCGCAAACCTTTGGGAATCCCAGCCAAAGTTGTTCACCTGAGACACACTTATGTTGTGTAATTCTATCTGACCAAGTAACGGTTGGACGCAGTGATAAGTCCGCCGACACCAGACATACACAGGACGGATCAGCAGATCACTTTACACGACTCGTTTGTATCGAAGGATGAATTAAACCCAGGGGGAGCTGCTTTGCTGATGCGAGGGCAAACTCCTGTGAGGTTTTAGGACAGGCTGGTGGCTGTCTGTCCGTATCTCTTTCACTCTCGTCCCACCCTGCCCGCTCTGAGCTGCATTGCTGGCAAGACAAGGAGTGGATCCCTGCCAGAAGCCATCAAAGCCACTGCATAACTGGATCAGGATCTTCCTCTCCCCACCATGTTGAGGGAGCAGCCTGGTGGGCGGCAATCCCTGCACCCACCCCCTCTGCCACAACCCAACACCCATGTGCTCGGGCCTCCGTGCCAAGCCTCAGCGCCGAGGCCTCATCACTGGCCCAGCTGGCATGGCCCCGATCAGCTGGATTTGCTATAATCATCTTAGGTCATCTCATTCAGACAGAGTGAATGCCCGTCAGCTCTTCAACCGAGGCCGATGAACCCCCCACCAGGCCGACCCAACTGGCCTCCTTCTGGCTAAATTTCCACTGAATGACTGTTAGACAACGTGAAGATGTCTCCTAGCAGGTACGCAGGGAGCGTCGCCACCTTTTTAAAATGTTAAAGAAATAAAACACATGAAAATGAGACGTCTTGTCTTGCCGGCCAGTCACCTAGTCCTGCTAGCTGCCTACAAGCCTGCCTAGTCTGTCTCTCTGTCAAGCTGGGATGTCTGGGACCTCGATGTGTGTGTGTGTGGGCGCGTGTGTGTGTACATCAAGAGGCGTGGTAGGGAGGGATGGGCAGAGAGTTACAGAGGTTAATGGTAAATCAGCCAAACCAAAGTCACACACTCACCCACCACACACGATTCCCCCTCCCCTCCCTCCCTCCCTCCCTCCCTCCCTCCCATCCATTTGTCCATCCATTTGTCCATCCATTTGTCCATCCATTTGTCCATCCATCCGTCCATCCATCCAGTCACCCAGTCCCCCCACCCCCACCGCCCCCTCCTTTCCTCTGCTGCGGTCGTGTCCCGGCTGCTCGTCCCTCAGTCCCAGCCGTTGTCCTTGATCATGTGGGCCAGCTCGATGATGAACTTGCCCTCTTTATACTTCTGACTGCTCTCAAAGGCATGTTCCTGGAGGGTGTGGCAGAGGACAGGAGAGACAGCATTTAATTCAAATGACAGATGGACAGAGAATAATAACATTTTATATCTTTGACAGACAGTACGATAATTAGAAAAAGACACAAGCAGCATTAAAAAAAAAACAACTGCTCATGAGAGTATTTTCAGCTGTCCATGAAAATCCTTGACTCAATCCTGGCCTGTCTCTCCTACTGGCTCTTTGGAAGCTGGTTATATAACCGTCGGCCACTAAACACTGCAGAGGAGCCTGCAGAACCCAAACTCTGACCGGGCTGGATCCTTAAACTGGCAGGAACTAAGAAACCAACCAAAAGGCCACCGGTTCAAGCCTCGCAACAGCCAACACAGATGTAGAGCCTGCTCTTATTTTGCAGGCTGTAACATGTAGTTCTGCTGTTAGGTATGTAATCCAAATTCCTCTGAGAGATTGAATGGGATACAAGAAAGTCTGAGCTATGCAGAAGCTTATTATTATAATATTTATTCATTTTTAGTTTTTCATGTTGACTGCAAAAGCATGTGTGCAACAGTCATTAGTGTAGCTTACTGAGATACTGTAAACCCAGTCAGAGAGTCTAGTAAAAGAGAATGAAAACTAAAAGATCAATTCATGATGCCAAAGTTGATACCAGGTGGCAAGATTCTCTAATGGATGCTATTGTGTTTTTTGGCGAAAAACTAAAGATAATCCCATCAGCCTGAGCTGTGTGCACTTTGTGGTTAATGCTAATGAGCAAGGGTTAGCATGCTACTATGCTAAACTAAGACGCACATAGTGTACAGTATACCTGCTAACATCAGTATGTTAGCATTTTAACACGATAACGTTAGCAATTTGTGTCTCAAATGCTAATTTTCAACATATAACATGTGTCTCAATGTGTTGTTTCAACTAAAAGATGTTTAAACAGGAGTGTGTATATGGTTTTAATTAGCCTAACAGATGTCTCGCATGGTGGTCACATGATCACGCTCAGCTGCGGTGGCTGCTAATCCCACCTCAGGTTGTTCCAGTTCCACCTCCCAAATTTGGATATTTCTGGCCCCAGTGACTGACAATGATGGCAGCAGCATGCCGCGAACCCAACCACACAAAGTCATTTTGACACACAACTATTTATTTATTTTTTTTCATTTTCCAACAGCGTGTCTAATCAATGCCATAAAAATAACACAAAATGAGAACTTCTGCTTTCTGTCCAAGTCCATTAACAACCATGTGTTCTTGCTTAAAAGCCACTCAGTCACTGTAAGCCTCTCTTAAAAAACAGTGTCACTGAGTAGGCTCATACAAATGTTCTTTCACTGTGGAGCGTCTGTACCTGTTTTGTCTTTGGCTATTTTGGTTCAAAGCTGCAGAGGCACGTTATCAGATTTCTCGGTGTAGAAGTGCAGTAGGTCAAGCCTCTCAATAGAACTTTGACGACTGCAGAAAATCAATACTGCTGCAAATGATATTAATGGCAGCCCTCCATTAAGTCCTATCTAGTGTCTGTGTGCTTGTGCATGCATGTGACCTCTCTGCCTTGTGGGGTCCTGACAGGAATAGAAACTACCCAGAAAAGTATCTACTTTTGGAGCTGGTTTACCAGGTGTTTACCAGGCATCATAAGGAAAATAGTTATTTTTAGGGTGGAAGGTTAAAGAATCAGGTTTAAGGTTTGACACGTGGCGGTGAATGTTGCGGTTAGAGGTTAAGCAAAGAGTGCTGGTCAATGGAGCCTTTTCAGAAGTCAAACAACAAGGATACTGTGTGTGTATATGAGTGTGTGTTAACCCTTTAAGGATGCAGTCACGTGGCCTATAGTGTATACTCTCACCTCCATGCTGAACAGGGTTCACCAGTGACAGCTGCACATGCTCGGCTCTGTTGGTATATGAAGCTAACAGTGGTGGATCCTGTTTTGTTCACACTGACATTGCACCTAAAATACCACTTATACTAAAGATACTGCGCGTATATTTTAACATCCTGTATCACAGAGTCCCCCCATGATTGCGCAGGCTTTTTTAGGGACTGTTGTGGCCTAAAATGCCTTATTTCACTGCAGCTTTTCTAAAACAAATTGTAGTGCATGTTGCAGTGAGGAGGAGAAAAAGGCAAGAAAATTTAAAAAATAGTTGCGATAAAAAAAGAGAATAATTTCAAAGAGTTCCAGCGAAAGTAAAATCGGTTGTAGTTTGGTGGCATATAGCTCAACGTTACATAGGGGACTGCTATGATTGGTCAAATGTGAGGAAAGGTTGGAGTGATTGGACAAAATTGCAGGAATTGAGTGAATTTAAGTAAACTTCCTGGAGGGACTGGTATATGTAGTTGTAATGCTAGCCAAAGCTACATAGTGAGCCTGTCAATGTTATTTTAACTCTGAAACTAAATCAACTACACTGCCAGTTTGTATGTTCAATCAACATTATTACCACCTAGCAATAACAGCTGTGATGAAATCAGCCGTATGAACTAAAGTCAACATCTATTGTTAAATGTACCACAAGGAGTTTTGAACTGGTTATGAAAAAGTCTCAATTTAATCCTAATGCATCTATATGACTTAAAGGATCCTTGTAGTGGCTTTAAAACCTAAATAATTAAGTGTTTGTATCTGAATCTTAAGCTTTGCTTGATAAATGAAATGAAAACCTTTCTGCTGATCCGGATGTTTTTAATTTACAAAAAACAATAAAAACTCATCACAAGTCACGTAAGATAAACAAATACTTCTCCTTCTTGTATCCGTGTGTTTGAAACGATCTATCTTATACTGAATTCAGCCAACAGCCGTACCGCTGCACTGACCCTGAGAGAAGATGAGACGAGGTTCAAATATAATTAGGGTGCAAATAAAATTAGGGTGTGCTATAATAACAACCTCCCGGTTTATCATCCTCTAACCTTGGATGCAGCTAGTCGGTGCTGTGCATCAAATCTGCCAAGGACACTTACGTATTTCCAGCCCAGGGTCGTCTTGCAGTTCTCACAGTAGATATCTGCTACAGCATGCAGGCCTGTGAGCAGAACTCTCTCCTCTGCGGGGCCACACCCGACGTTCACCCTGAGAGAGGCACAATGGGTTTGTGGGGAGGAAGGAGACACAAGCAGAGACAGAGAGAGACAAAAGTTAAAAATGAGTATTGTGCAAGTGGCTCGGTTGAGTGTACTGTATGATGTGCTCAGAGTGAGTCACTGCTTCACACCCACTCACACAGCGCATACTGATAGGGCACCAGGCCGCGGAGCATAGATTCAAACAGCCTAATTTTCACACTCAATTCAGCTGATAATGACAGCGCTCCGAGGCACAGGCTGGCCTCGTCTACACCGGGGCTTCAAAAACAACGTAACGGCTGTGTGGAACAATATGTATTATTAGCCTGTTTTAAATCTGAGCATGTTAAATCACTTGTCTCCTGTCTGGGTCCAGTATGCGGGACATTTTTTCCGAACGCATAACGTCAACTGCATTTGCCGTTTGCAAAGAAGTGGGTTGAAATTTTTGGTTTTTTTTAGAGAAATACTCACACTGAATTGAACAGGTAGGCTCTGCCTTGGCTGCCCTGGAACGACTGCAGAGACAAAATGAGACAAAGATTAAAAAAGGTTCAAACAAGACTCTTTCATCCAGTGTAATTACTCTATATAATGACATAAGCATGCTATTATATAGCCATAATGCTGCAGTCCAATAAGAGCCTGGGATTGGCTTCCTTATAAAAACGCCCACATGTTGATTTAAGACAGGCCTTTACTTTATTAGGAGCTCTTATTTTAAAACCTGTAGACAAAATCTATTTTAATATCTACTTGGTGCACAGTCCCTTGGTAACAGCCCATATGCTACTGATAACATCATGGCTGACTAATGCATAAGTATCTATTCTATATTCTATTTCTATATTCATGACTGGCAATGCAGTAATTCCTTGAATGTCTTTATTTGCCACAACACGAAAGCTGCAATTGAAGCGACACATTAAATAGATTTATACAGCGCAGATATGTGACGACAGGCAGAAGGCCTTTGTGCACAGGTAAGCAGTGTTTTCATAATCGCATGTGGAAAAAGTGATAGTGCGCTCATAATCCAATTCACAAACCAGCTTATAACATAATCCATCCACAGGTAATAGTGTGACAGCGGCTGACACAGACATACAGGTGTTTAGCCTGCTGTTTATATGAATAATTCCTCATCCCTTCTCCCTCCTTTTCAATCCTCATCACTTCCCTATATTTTTTGTTGACGCTTGTAAATTATATTCTGCAAAATGAACTGTGCTGTCAATTTAAGGATGCAAAAACTTCTTATATTCTTATTCAGTCAGTAGCAATTAGCTGCCTGAATGTAAGTCCTGTCTTAATGGTTTCCAGGGGCAACCACTGTTGGTAAGATGAGTCTAGAGCAGAGTGCTGCTGTCGCCACCGGTTACCTTGGAGATGAGCTCGTCGTGGTTGGCCAGGTGAGCTCGGCAGTGGATGCAGCTGTAAGTTCGGTGGCAGCTTGGCAGGTATGCCTGGAAAGTCTTGGAGCGCGTCATTCTGACCATGGGCGGAGTTGGCGGGCGGTGCAAGAAGGGACTGCCAGCCCAGGTCGGCTCACAAGGGAAGCACCGCAACACACAGGTGAGGGCCGTGGTGGGCGGTGGGTTGGGAGGCGAACACCTGAGCACGGGGCGATAAGAGAGCAGCTAATGGTTACATGGTTGTGTAACAGCTGCTTCCTTAAACTGGTGCTGCAGACTGAGCCACAGGTGTATCTCCGCTGATGGGATTAAAGTCTGCTCTCCAGTGAAACACTTAAAACCTCACAAAGCTATGATGTGGTGAGACTTCATACATTATTAATGAAGCTGCGTTCCAGGCTGTGTCACCAAATTTCACATTTCAGATTCAAGCTGAAAACACAGATAATTTTAGAAGATGAGATTTAAACATGGTGCAGGCTTCTACCACACAGAAACACATTTACCAAGAGGCCAAAAATGAGTCCTGTTTGGTTGAGAGGACAGTCTGGGCCACCAAAGCAAAGACAGACAAAAAACTAATGGGTGACTATTTTGATCATTGCTTAGCAGCCATGCGAGCAGAAGAGCTGCAGGGATGACAATGTCAGTCTGTGGCTCTGCTTTGGTCTAATATATACAACTACTGGATGAATTTCTATTCAGTTTTGTCGGGACGTTCACGGTTCCCAGACGAACAATCCTCAACCATCAACCATCACCATCTGTATTTCATGACTAAATGACAAACCCATCAGCCTCAGCGGTGTCTTCAATCAAAATTAGCATTATCATGTTATCATTCTAAAACACTCAACTAAAGTGTTGAACACTAAAAACATTATACCTGCCAATCAACATGTTAGCATGCTGACATTAGCATTTAGCTCAAAGCACCACCTCAAAGAGCTGTTTGTTGCTTGTCTGAACAACATTTCCTGGTTCCTGCAGCTTTCCTCTGTTTTATATTATTGTTAACTGAATTCATTTGAGTCAGCTTGGACTAAACAACATTAATAATAATAATAATAATAATAATAATAATAATAATAATAATAATCAATAATAACAATAATAATAATGAAAACTGCTGATGAAAACAATCAATGTCTCCATTAACCGAACCCTCCTGCAGCTCAATGCAACGTACACAGGCAGCAGAGCTAGCTCACATTTTGTGTTTAGGTCTGTGAGGCTGCGGAGATAATCTGCTTAGCCTAGCACAACTGTGAGGATCGTGCTCTGCTCACTCCATGATATCCAAATAGACCGAGCCCTTAAAATACTTTTGCTGGTGTGCCCTGGTGACTGAGAAGATTAGTGAGCTGACCTGGGTGCCCATCCCGGAGGCTCGGGGCCAGGAGGACAGGAGTATGTTTTGACTAACTGCACAGGGGAAACTAAATAGTTTGGGGCCTCATCCACTCTCCACCTTGTGGTGCAGTCATAATCTTTGTTTTTATTGCTTAATGCAACTTTAATTGTGATTTCAGCACTGTAGCTCTGCTGCTAAACACAAAATGTTTTATTCCCCAGTGCTGCTTTTCATGAAGTTATTGAGGAGCCTCTCCCCAATGGTATATATTATTGTCTACCAGCCAGTTTCAAACGACCTTTATAACTAAACAAAACCAATAATTTCTATAGTTTACAGGTGGATTCTCTAATGACTTTACTAACTCAGTTTTTTATGATGTGTTTCATCACCAACACATAATGTTGTCCCATTCTGTCTCCTCTCTTTCCTGTCTGTCTTTACTGAACCATCTGGAAAAACTAATAAAATACTGAACGGGAGCAGGAGGCCTCTGTGAGTTCAGGACAAACAGGAGAGAGAGGGAGAGGCCTCTTTACTTTACTGCCCTGCAATATGATTGTTTTTAGAGTTGGACGGAGGCTGATAAAGGCTCCAGTGCTGATGGGAAGGACCGAAGGATATAAATAAATAAGACAGTGAGACGTGCCCTTGTTTTCTCTCCTCTGACTCGGTGCCAGCGGCGTGGGTTTGGGGCACAAAGACACACTCAGTACAGTTGTCAGAGTTGACCCCTGACACACACACACACACACACACACACACACACACACACACAGACTGATGTTTAACCAAAAGCGTGTTTCATCCTCTCTGCCATTTCAGGACTGAGGACAAGAAAGAAGTTTATGCATCATCCAGTCCTCTGAGATTTGAGTCGTGCCGTACAGAGCTGACACACTGGCAACTTTATTTATGTAATTAGAGACGTTTGCCACCTGATTCTTTTAATATTTAGAATTGTTTAAGCCATTTTAAAGCATAAATGACAAAGCTTTACTAGTTAAATGTGAATATTTGCTTCTTTTTTTTAAGGCTTCTATGGTAGCAGATTGAATATATTTGAGTTTCAAACAAAACAAGCTATATGAAGACATTTTATAGACCAAACAATTAAGCAACTAATCAAGAAAATCTCTTAAATTTGCACAAAGCTGCTTGATTATGGCTCAGTAATTAGTCTTAAGGAGAAGGTAAGCTTCAAACTAAAGCTTCAAATTGAATTACATTAAATTTAAGCTTCTTCCTCTAAGCCTGTACCGCTGCATTTGCTACAAGTCACTCATGTCGAGACTGTCTAAAATGTAAATGTGCTGTATGGGTGAGAATCTGTGACAGCCGTCAGCCGACAGGCGATATGTTTACTCACACAATCAGCTGTGGAAAAAGCTCAGTGCAATGCTGCTACACCAAACTGTCAACGTGTTGACGTACAGTGCATCGTGGTACAATGTGCCCTTAACGGACCGACGTTCAACATCAATGCTGGATTATATTGGATTGTATTGCACGTGCTACATATCTTCTCATGGGTCATACATAATCCATGTGCAGTCCTCTTTGTGTATTATCTCTGAAGAATCACTTCATAACAACAGAGTACCAGTGCATGTCAGTGGCTTGACACTTACAACTGTTCCTCTGTTTCAGTTATGAAGATTTGTTGTCCTTAAACAAATTTTATCATTTGGACTGATGGCTGGACAAAACAAGATATTTGAAGACTCTGGGAACAACCAAAGACATGCACAAGCCCTTCTGGAGGAAAATGTTTTTGTGTGTCTGTGCTGTTGTGGCTGCATAAATATGACTAAAATGACATCACCATATCGTCTGAACTTTTATTACTTGTTGATACATTTGCATCACATTGTGGAAGAGCTAGTTAGCTAACTGACCCGCATATAGACAGCAGACTACATACAACATCCTGTAGCATAATATAACAATAACAACAATATAACATATCTGAAGCATATGTGGAGATCCCATGGGTTATACCATTCATTGGGGGGTTTGTCCATTGACATATATAAAGATGGATGACATGACAGCTCCCCAAAAGTAAAGCCAAAACATCTGGCTCCGGATGATGTCACCAGCACAAGATCCATATGCAGAATATTTTCACTTCATTTTTGTACAGTGGGAGGAAGCTGAGACGAAACTGCCATCTCTTATATGACGATGAAGTTGCCCTTTTTTGGTGAGAAGCATTTGGTTACATACATTACATTTGGTTTAGTTGCAGCCCTAGAGATGTTATGGCTTTAACTTAACAAGCATAAAATAGCAATAACAGATTTGGCCATGATATTTCTTTGACAATGTATAACACTGTATATACATTGTGACCGTAATAAAAAACTTATTTGCTATATTTTGTTGTGACTGACTAACAATGTTGAAAAAAGGAAATAAGTAACTTCAAAAAGAAGGAAGACACCAAACATAAAGTACAAGAAATGTTTCACAGAAAGCAGGTCGAGGTTTTTGGTGCCACATTAAAACATGAAAATGTCCCGGACCCGTCCTAGGCTGGACTGTAATTCTGTTTGACATTTTACAACAATTAGTTTCCAAGAACTGGACCACACTTATCTTGGTGGGTGGACATGCTCGAAAATCATTGTGCAAGGCAACATTGTTTGCGGGAAAGAGGATGCTGACGAGCTGTAAAACGCTGACGCAAAGAGTGAGTCTGGGCTGCTTTGCACATAAAAAAAAACAACCTTCTTTGACAGAACAACAAATTGCATAAATGATCAGATGACTAGAAGAACCGATCGCAGGCACCGACAGGCTCCAACAGCGGGGAAATGTTACCACAACTGACTGTCTGTACAACCTCAGTGTGTGTCTTTGGTGTTTGTCCGTCTTATACCAGTTTATCTCTCAAGCTGCCTGCATGTGTCTCGTCTTCGTCCGTCTCTGCGCCTCTCAGCCTGTTTGTATATTCATTTTCTCTGCTGTCACTCTGTCCATTCATCAGTTCTGCCGCGGGTCGTTTGAGGTCGCCGAGCTGTCCATTCTGGTCATTTCTGGGTGTCATCACAAAAGGCTACGTGCCACGAGTCTCAGCAGCCAAAAGGGCCCTTGTATCCCAACACAAAAACTGTTGTTATGTAACGCACTGATGCTGCCGCTGCTGATGCTGTTCCTGACAGTGATCGAGAGCCGGAGAACGACAGGAGAGGGAGAGACACAAGGAGGAGGGGAAAGATGAGAGTCAAATTGGAGAGGAACAGATAGTTAAATGAGCAGAGGAAGAAAGAGGGAAGAAGAAGCAGCGTGTGTCCCCTCAGCGTCAGATGAGCTGTGTGTGTGTGTGTGTGCTACGCTGCCCACAAGCTGCACCGACACGATTTCTGTACTTCATGTACTTTCATGCTGCTCACCATTCAGTCTTACACCAAGGCCAACAGCATACAGCAGCATGACATCACTGACTTAGAGAAGAAAAAACACTCCTCTCTTCCTCCTCCTCCTCCTCCCCCCATCCGTATCAAATCTCACTGATGAAGCGATGCTCCTGCATCCCAGGTGTGTGTGTCTGGTTACTGTTGCTACGTCTGATCTGTGCTCACTTCTAATTTTCTTCTCTCTGTCTCTGTTTTTACGTCTTTGGAGAGGAAGGGAGCTCATTTTCAGGAGCTACAGGAACTTATACTTGTGTGTGTTTTCTTACAGAGTTCAGTAAAAAGCCTGAAGGAGACACTCCTTTAATGCAGTTAGAACTTATATATTCTCAGTTCATACTCACATATAATCTCCATTTTGTGTCTGTGTGTGGCTATCAGACGATAAAAAGTGAGCACAGCCATAACAAGTGTCAAAAAACAAAGTGGGTGACGTGTCAGAGACTCAGACCTGTGAAACTGTAGGCGCAACACATTGTACACAACTTCTGTTTATGTACAGTCCTGGCGGTGAAGGATCACCTTTCAAGGTCTGCAACTCTCCAACCACCATCTTCGATCCTTGTGTATCGACTGCTGGCATGATCAATAACTATCTGCATGCACGCTCTGCAATGGAAATAGATCGCAAAGAGAGCAAAGGTTGTGACTTGATAAAAGTGTCTGTTCTTCAACTGTCCATATGGACTCACATGGACTTATTTATGCAGTAGGTGTTTTTTTTGGGGGGGGTAGATGCAGCATTTCCACCTGCTGGCCTGACTGTCGTTGACTCCTATGGGATGGTAGAGTCACAGCAGTGCCTCATCACCAGGGGTAACACATCAATAAATAAACAAAAAAACGCGAAGGTTTAAGGTTTACTGTACGTGTGTGTGATTATTGGTAGGAATCAGGTCACAGGCAGTGGCGCACTTCATCTGGGGCAGAACTTCAGCCACCACACGGAGCACAGATGGCGGGGATGCCTCAGCTCAGCAATGCTGAAAACACACACACACACACACACACACACACACACACACACACACACACACACACACACGCCACCCGCTCTGAAAGGCTTTAACATCTGCAGTGACTTTGACAGATCGATGAGAATCATGTGATTGCCGTCAGAGTTTATGATCACATGAGCGTATTACACGATAACCCGCATTGATCGCCACTGACGTGCACCATCACGGCCATGCGCGCGCACGGGGGATGATGGCGCATACGTGCAGGACCGCCACCACAAACAGACAGCATGTGTCCTAATAATAACCACTAGATACTGTAGCCACACTGCACAGTATACCTCAGCATCCCATCCCACGAAGACAACATCAGTCCGGGCATGACAAACACTTATCACAATGATGTTACAAACAAAACCTTAAAGTTGTCTTTTTATATTAAAAGTTGACTCTGTTAAAAAAGTACTGAGAACTACATCGTCGCAGGAATAAGCTTCATAGAGCGATATAATAACAGTGCGTAACAACAAATGCACCACTAAAAAATAACGCAGAGGAAATCATTTACCTTTGAAGGGAAGAAAAAACGGATCTCCACGTAGCCTAGAAAATGTCGCACCTCCTCGTTTTCCTCGTGGCAGTGCCAATCCTAAAACCCCTTTCGCATTCCTTCCCAGGCAAATTTCCTCTCCTCTCCTCTCCTCTCTGGCAAGTCCTGCAGAGACGCAATGTTTTGACGCGCAACGATGCCCAGCAGAGTTTAGAAGAGGCAGAAAGAGAGAGTGATGAAACAGCCAGCCGGAGCGAGAGCGCTCACTCCCTCTCACTTCCGTGTTCGTAGTGAAACTGTTGTGTAGTTGGGACGGCTTCTTTTGTTGGGACAGGGCGCCGTAGGTTTCTGGCCAGTGTCTGGTTGTTGTGGCAGTGCCATTTAAAACGTTAGTTACTTCACGTTATGCTGCTGTAATACGTAAACATACAAGCGAATATTATCAAAACACCATGTCGCGCATGCTCAGTGTGAGTTTAGTGACGGGAATGTCCATTTGTTGCATTTACTGTTTGTATTAAATTATTAAATGCTGAATGAACGCGATAGTCATTATGTATTGTTTATAATATATGGCTAGATGTGCAATGTTCGCGGTTTTACAAGTAACATAGAGGTTAGCTACTATCATAACTGTGCCTCATTTAAAGAAAAGATGTCCTTTCCTACCGTTGCTAACCAACACAACGTCTGTTGTTTCATACAGTTCAACGGTGGTTGATAAACGTTACTTTGTGACTTCACTGCTACTAAAACTTAACCGTTAACACGACGGGTCTTGGGCGCACACTCAGGAGGACGTGAACCATCTTGACGGCCCGAGGTGACGATCTTTGGCAAAAACCTCTCTGGCCGTGGACTTGATGGATAAATGACAGCTGAATCAGCCAATCAGAGAACCGCTACGGCATAGCAACACTGAGCCTATTGGTCGAGAGCGGAAGCGAGTAACCAATAATATCACTGGGATCTTTTTACTAAATTGTGTAGAATGTACACTTTCAGCCAAGTGTGTAGTTTTATGGACGAATATTAAACAGGGGTAGAGCCCGAAGACTTTACCGGTTCTTCTTAAAAATGAGTAGAAACAATGTCTGTGCGGTCGGTTTTTATGTAACAAAACGTGTCCGGCATCATTAACTTTTCCGTATTAGAGAAAACTTGTAAAATCTCTCCAGTCTACAGTGCCCCCTCCTGTCAGTCTGCAGGTGGTTACCAAATATCTATACATACAAACATACACACAACTCCTGTAACAATATTTTTTAGGTGTTTATTGATATTGATAAAAAAAAAAAAAATACTTCTTAAATAATCTCAGTAAATCAATTTAAATGTAATTTCCTGGAGTATCCACGTGGGATAAGGCATTTTGATAGGCATTAAGCATTAGCAGCCATTACCCACAAACTGGTTCGGTGAAACATATTCAAGCACAACAGCTTAAATATTCATTTAGGCATGCAAAACAATTGTACGCGCAGTACAGCACAGGTAATCAAAATACTCATATAGTAGATTCATTAAAAAGAAATGTAGTCACGAGCCTCTCTATCAAAGAATAATGATTTTGGATGCACAGGTTTTCTCAACACCTGTGCAGATTTCACACATACTAACAATTCAGTGACAGCACTAATTCAAAAAACAAAAAACAAAACAGCAACACATTTTTTTTGACAGTAATATACCAAACAACGTACATTCAACCAATACTACATTCATCGCTGACCCTCGCTGCGTGGTCACAAGTTGGGATTAGAGAATGTCAGTGGTATGATAATCCTAACGATCGGTACACTGTGACAACCACAGCGAGGAACTGCTGCCTCTAATACATTTCAATTTCAAGTCACTGCAAGGAAGCGATCAATCCACATTTATCAGTGCTTCTTCTGTATTGCCAAAACACTTTAAAGTCCACATTTTACAAAAACACGTTCATATTTCTTGAATGTGACGTTCAATGCTGTTCATGATCAACACAAACAGGTAGGACTCATTATTAAAACAAGTTTCTTATTTTGTGCAAAATTTCTCTCTCAGATTCATTAATGAAAAATTAATGCCAACGTCATTCTAGTCATCGATTCATAGGGAAATCAAGGGACTACGCAACTACAAATAAACATACAGTTACACAGCTATACAACACAAAACCATTGTCTTTCAGAAGCAACATATCAAAAGAACAGTGTCAACAGTCCACAGTTGAACTGAATGTGCCGTTGAGTTGTAAGTATGGAGCTGTGGTTACCTACCTCAGTACCCACAATTCTTTTCACACTAAATCTTAATGTAGCCGAGGACTTTGTGTTGTTGTGCACTTTGTTATTTATGACTAATATTTGGCTGCATCAGACACAAACAAACATATCTCACAACTACATTAGTGTATTATTGCATCTGCTGAGAAACAGTCAGATTGTACAAAAAAAAAGAAGTAAATCGGACCTCAAAATGTTTTAAAGCTGAAAGGCTGCGTCTGCTGGTGTTTTTACTACCACCATACTTTAACCATGACTCAGTAATACTGCAAACTATTATTTACTTGAAGGTGTAAGGTTTAAAAATGTCTTTAGATCAGTAAAACCCGAAGGTTTATATCTACACGTTTTATGACATTAAAATAGTGGTGAACACCTATTTGCTATGTAAAGATCCAGAGGAGGAACGGTGTCTTGAAGCTGCACTTGTTAGTGTACGCGCGTCCCTCCGTGTGCAACTGTTGGCTTTAAGTAGAGCAACTGAAATGGCTGGGTTTTTTCTAATCTACCTTGGTGAATTAAGGATTTATTTTGACCAAACCAGAGAAAACAAAGATGGTTTTGGTGAGTTTTACCTCGTTTCTGTCTACTTTGAATGATGACCTGCAAGGTAAAATGACTGTTTTTGTCAATGAAGCCTGGTAGCGAGCAGGAGGTGTTTCTGATTAAACAAAAAGGATTTGACTGGCCTCTGATCTCTGTAGAGATACTCATTACAATCTGAGCCTGTCGGTGGTAAAAACAAGCACTTTAAGTGGACGTTTGAGGGGTCCACTGCAGACTGTTTGGTGAAAATTTTAACATCTAACTCTGAGAATTAAGGGTTTCTTTTGATCAAACCACCGTTGGTGATTTTTGGAAAACTAACAAAAAATATTTTAGTCAGTTTTATTTAGTTTATGTCCCTTTTGAAGTGTTTTTTAAGATTATCTTCAAGGTGAAATCACTAGTTTTGTCAATGGACTCTGGTGGGCTGTAACGCCCATTTGTTTTGGTCTGAGATTCTAGTTCTTTAGTGCGACACCTAGTGGCAGTGAATTTTGTATACATATAATATATTTTCAAGCCAAAAGCCATGAATCTATTCTGAAATTCAAGACTGATAATACTTGCAAACACTATATGTCAATGGCCATGTTGTCCTATATTATAACTCTGAGATTGTGTTAATTTAAATAGCTTTGCCATACTGATAGAAATCAGAAACACCATTGTTTGTGTACGTGGTGTGCAGCGAGGGAACAAAAACCTTGCAAAGAGCACAACTCCAAGGAGATTATATATATATATATATATATATATATATATATCTTTATACCGATCAGCCATAACACTATGACCACTGACAGGTGAAGTGAATAACACTGATTATCTGGTTATCATGGCATCTGTCAGTGGGTGGGATATATTAGGCAGCAAGTGAACATTTTGTCCTCAAAGTTGATGTGTTAAAAGCAGGAAAAATGGGCAGTGTGAAGATTTGAGTGACTTTGACAAGGGCCACATTGTGACAACTGGGTCAGACCATCTCCAAAACTGCAGCTCTTGTGGGGTGTTCCCTGGCTGCAGTGATCAGTACCTATCAAAAGTGCTCCAAGGAAGGAAAAGAGGTGAAACGGAGACAGGGTCATGGGCGGCCAAGGCTCATTGATGCACGTGGGGAGTGAGGGCTGGCCCGTGTGGTCCGATCCAACAGACGAACTGCTGAAACAGTTCATGCTGGTTCTGATAGAAAGGTGTCAGAACACACAGTGCATCACAGTTTGTTGGTACGGTGCTGCAGAACATTATGACCACCAGAGTGCCCAGTTGCTCATACTGTTATGGCTGATCTGTGTATATATGTGTCCTTTAAGTTTACTCTACAGACATTAGTGTGTAACAGTAAAACTGAAACCAGCGCAGGATGCAGAACGTGACGGAGATCCCTACCGACTGTAAAACACAGCGTGAGAGTAGCCCTGCTGGAATGCATTAGAGTGAGTGCGTGTGGGGTGTGGGGGGATAGTTTGGCAGGTCAGTCAGGATAATCACTAGTGCGGGGCGGCTGAGGTAGATTTTGGCAGGTCACTGAGGCTTAGAAATGCCATTCCTGTCCATGAAGTCTTTAAGCCTGGTGGGAAAATCTGTCATAACTCCCGTGGCTCCCAAATCAAATGCCCTCTGGAAGTCCTCCTCGTCATTCAGCACCCAAATGTAAACCTGAAACCAGATGCACACACATCACACAGCGCAGGGCGTCACACAAGGCTCAAGAATGCGTCTGCTGTAGCGTTAGCAGCCACTCTGGCCTATTTTTGAACTTGTTTTTAACTACAGCACAACACTGCGGCCACAACAAACAGTGGATCAGCACGCAGACAGCCTTACCATTGATAGTTTATACTATGGAAAGATTTTCAGTCATTCTTAGAAGTAAAGATAAAACAGATGTGACTAAACCTTGACACAATTCTGTATACAACCCTTGTTGCTCTCAACTGTACAGGTCAACACTGTACACACTGAGTGTTGTATAAAAAAGGTCTTGATAATAAAAGCTAACAGGTTTGGAGGTCTGAGAAAGAGTAAAAATATAAGAAACACTGGTTATTATTACTCCTGCACTACTTGCATTTACCAAGTTGCATTCACTTTGTATTAAATCCTCCATATATAGAGTTTTCTCTCGTTTGTGAGCTCTACTATAGCAGGTACATAATAGCAGCTTTACCTGTATTCCCCTGGCAGTTAGATGATCAAACAGAGCTTTCCTCATCAGCAAACTGCAAGAGAAAAATAAATACAGAAAGTGTACCCAGAGAGAAGTTTAGTTAGTAGTTAGTTAGTAGTAAAACAGTTGCATTAATCATGGTCACACAGCAATGTATGTGTCTATTATTTCGTGATGAGAATTATTCCCAGTGTCGCTGTTTAACAAAGGATCAGGACTTCTCAAAAACACAAATATATGAAGTGTACAACAGAGGGAAAAACATTAAAGTACTCAAAAAATACATGTTTAGGTAATGAAAAAGCCCAGCTATACAGGTATACAAGTTTAAAATAGTGATTTACAAACACACACACAGATTCAGCCTCTCATTAAACACAATTCATTGAAGACCTACGTGTCTGCCAGCCAGGTGATGAATCGCTGACTCCTAGTTAAATTATTAGGATCCTTAAGTCTGCAAAATCACAGGGAAAAAAAGTGAAAGTTAAAGTGTGAAACGATCAGTGTGTTCACGTTAAAGCATCTTCTCCACTGCAAAAAGTTTGTATCAATCAATAGTGTTTCACTGTATCATTACAGGTTTAAGGAGCTACATTTACTCCGATCGAATATGGCAGATTCATTCTAGGAAATTAAGAAAATCATTAAGTTAAGTGGTCGTAATTGAAACTGGATTGGAGAAAATGTACACAACAACAACAACCTGAAAAGGCTTCATCACGTAATAACTTGCTGAGCGCATTAAACACAACAGATTGATGATACATGAATGTGTTTGAGGGGTGAACTTGTAACTGTTGTTAATCCTTAATGATGCTCGGCACGTATAATCTGCTCTATGACCTTGATCCTTACAATCCACTAACACACTCTGTCCAGGCGAGGGGTGTGAATATTTCCTTTAATGCCTTAATTAGTGAGTGAGATCATTTTTCAAACATCAATTGTGACACAGAGAGGACATGCAGCAACAAGACGACCAGTGAACGAAGTGAGTACACCCGACGGAAACTACAACCTGAATAAAACGAAGAAGAAGTACATTTATTTAAAGAAAACTAAGTAAAATCGCGTGCGTAACTTTTGAAAATCCACTATAAATCAAAATCGAGCCAAAGTTCAGGAGGAAATAAAATACTAAGCTCAAGGTCCACTTACTGGAAAATTCCAAGAGCTTTCAGCCACATCTCCTGACTGAAACCAGATAGAGTTGGCTCATAGGTCTGGTGGTTGATGTGACATTGTGTCTGTCTGCTGATAAAGGCCATAAGATGCGACTGAAAGGTCAGGAAACTTTCCAGTAAACCTTGTGCTCAAACTTTTTTTAAGCTTTATTCCACAAATTGTTCAATTGAGATCAAAATGTGGTATTAAGAGAACAATTGTTAGTTTTATAAGCAGCAGTTAAAAAGTGTTTCCAATATCAATTTAACCTTTTTAGGTGAGATTTTAAACAAGTCACAGCTGCGCACAGCACTTTGGCCCACACTGTCAATGAAATAATAGCTTTGTTCAAGTCCATGTTTTAGAGTTTGGGTTATAGTTGTAGTTATATGGAGATCACCTTGGAATCAGCTTGAGTCCTATGTTGGGACTTGAGTCTCAGTAAAGGGGGAAGAAATTCCTACCCCGTGAAACAGACCTCAACCTACCGACCTATTGCTATCAAATGCTGTGTACCTGTATACTGATCACCAGTGGGGGAGTGTAGTGTTACTAATGTTGTGTTGTATCTTACTGACAGACTAGAACTGTAGAGGACCTGTGTCTGTACAGTGTTACTGAGGGTTGATGCTGCTGACCCTAACCTCTCCTCTACTAGTGCATCTCTTTTTTTATTTGATCCTATGTGTATTTTTATGTGTATGTGTATGTGTGTATGTATACCTACTTGGTAATAATTGAGGGCATGGGGATCTCCAGGAACTGCTCTTTGAGGGGAACAAAGGGCAGGAGGCCGGTGTAGAAGAGGCCTAACAGCTGCAATACTCTGGGAAGGCTGAACAACACGGGAATACGAGGATTCTACAAAACACAAACATACAACCTGAATTTACTATTAACCTGAAATACTATTACTGGTAGCAAGTGTTTTGAAGGGAGATTGAGTCCCTGTTTTGACAGAGCTTTAAATTTCATGTAAACGTACCTCTTTGTAACACTTCTTTACAACCTGGTTTCTGGCGTTGCCCCAGACAGTCAGATGCTCTCTGTCGTACTTAACAACCAGCTCAGAGACCTGCAAGGATTGAAGAGTCATTATTACAGAAACTTAATATAATACACGGTGCACAGGTATGAAACATGAATCAGACATTTGATGTTGTCCCCCTCTGAGCTCATTGAAATTTTTGATTTTTAAGGGGCAGGGCCTACAAGCATGGTTTGTCCTCCTCCTTCAGTTGTCAGGATATTGGGGCAAAATAACAAGGACGGATCTTAGTTTCAATGTCTGCCTTACGTTTGCCTTTTCATACACAATGAGGTAACCACTAATGCTGCTTTCAAGGACATACAAACAACTCATCTTCAAATCTGTGTTAAATAGACATGACATGGGAAACTGACAAACACAAAGAAAGGGAGAAAAAAAATTGTGTTTTAAAAGAGGGTTAAAGTACCAAAAGGAAAAAAGATACACACACACACAGACACACACCTTTTTGATGAGCGTGTCATTGTTGACCTTGATGTCAATGTTGACAGGAGTATTAGGAAATGCATCAAAAACGTCCCTGAGGAGAGGGATACGTTTGTCTTCTCCCCCCTCGCAGAAACACTCTGCACAGACAAGGACGGGTGGAGTTCACAGTCAGCTTCAGATGATACTCAATGTGACGGGCTCAAGTGTATTAATCATTGCAACTGTGACTTTCTGGCTCCTTCCCCAACAGACTGTAAAGCTAAACTATATTATCTGCCAAAACTCTAAATACATTAACTACATACAGTGGATCTTTGTAACTTTATAATATGTTGCAGATGAATTGATCCATTAACTTTGGCCAAACTTGAAATAAACATTATTTATGTATTTCTACAGTATAAACACATCACATAGATAACTGTTACCCCTGAGGAACACAATGACCACTGTCGTTATTGTATGTGGGTGGTGTCAGCTTAATCACACCAGTCGTGTGTATGTGATGCTCACCCCTCTGAAAAGTTACGCCCAGCTTGCAGAGGTATGGAGGGAGCTCCTGCAAAGAGCACACAGCGGTTAGCAGACAACAAATACACCTGATAGTCAGAGCCTATATGAGGTACAGAGGTGGCATGATAAGTGTGAGGCTGAGGGTGTTTTCATGAATGATGTCAATGTGAAAGAGACACGAAACCACAGAGGACACAACATCAATGTGAAGAAGCTCATCTGTACTGTGACGCTAATCAGTTAAATAAATGTCAGTTTGGTTATTTATTGCGTCTCAGGAAAACAAAGATCTTTGTTGCATTTAAACTTTTCAAAGATGTGTAGGACAGAGATCCTAAGTGAGAAACAATGGATCCACTGACTCACCAAGAATTTCTGTTTTTTTTTTTTTTAATCAGGCAAAAGTTCATCATGTCTTAATCAGGTGACACAGACTTCACCTGATTAAGACACATGCTCTATCAGTGCTGCTGCCTCATTTACAACGTTTACGTGCAAACAAACTGCTGTTTGAAGTTTCGCAAGTACTTGTGGTTTCTAGTTTTTAACTCAAATGTACGTGGCCCTCTTGACTTCTGTGTCTTTTACTTGTTAAAGGGACCCAGAAAGCTACAGTGTGTATGCTTGAGGTTTAATAAATGTGCATTTTCTTCCACATAAAACAATCAAAACCAATTTTTTTAATTATTTTAAATCCCGGATTATTTACATCCATGTCTACTAGCTTGCAGTGTTCAAACACTTCAGGAGTTGGAAGGGAGATAGTATCAGATATAGAAGTGGGTAACTCACAGCGTATGCCGTGTCTGAAATGTAGGCGTTGATGCCGGTGGACCTCTGCAAGTTGGCGTCATGTGAAACCACTACCTGTTCGTCTTTCGTCAGGTGGCAGTCCAACTCCAGCATGTCAGTGCCAAGAGCCACAGCGCTGCATGAACCAACACACAGTACACACATTGTATTTATAACTGTACCTAGGAGGATCCATTGATCATTAATCTCACCACCAGAAGCTACTGAGGTCAAGCAAATAGAGACGTAGCACATACACATTCAATAAAATCAAAAAGCAGAAGTATATCATCCTTGTTATCTAGGAACCGCTGACTGTGTCCTCAATTGCGGACAAACAGTCAAAACGGTCCGTGGTCACAAACACTGCCCACTGTCACAAGTTGTGTCCCACATATATGTGATATAATCAAAGAATGAGCTTTGTCAATGTGACTGTGGTTTCTACTCACTGCTTAAAAGCGGCCATGGTGTTTTCCAGGTTTTCACCTGCTCCTGCAATGACAAAAAAAAAAAAAAAAAAGATAAACATGCTGAGTGAAGCACGGTGTCTTCTTTATATTTGTATTACTGTGGGACACAGAACTGGAACATTGCCCTCACTGCAAGAAAAAGGCCAAACAGTGACACCAATGTCATTCTGGGGGAACTGGATGGTCAAGTAACTGTGTATGTAACTTTATTCAATTTAACAACTTCTACAGCACATACCGACAATAAACATCAATGACCCCCGTATGATGAAACCAGAGTACTAAATACAAGTACAAGTACAAAGTACAAATCTTTATTACATGATATAAGAAATGATAAATGCTGAAAGGTGCCACTGGCTCACCTCCACGATGGGAAATGTGTCTGCCAAGGAAAGTCTGTCGCTTCCTCCGGTGCAAAAGACTCGGGCATTTCAGCAGCAGGGCAGAGGTGAGCACATAGCCCGTTACCGTGGACAGCACATACACAGCAGCACACATCTCCTATCAGTCAGCTGGAGAACAAACACAACCCACCCAAAGATAAACAGTGAGGCACGATTTCAACAAACTTGGGCTGTCTGTCATAAGCTACACACGGTCCAGGAACAGTGAGAGCAGGGCTGCCACTAGTAAGTATTTCCTAATCAATAAATCACTAAATAAAATACCAAGAAATGACCAGAATGAGGTATCAACTCATCAATTAAGCTCTGTATGAGATCCTAGTTTGTGTTTCTCAAGTGTTAGAAAGCCACAGCAGCCTCACAGATAATGTCTAATTAAAGATATTAGATAATAAAGATAATTAAATATAAAGATATTAATAATGAAGCTTTTATTGTCGCACTGTCAGCGGGACAGTTTGAGCTGCCTTGTTTTCAGCGTTACATTAATAAAACATATTAGATAACATTCAGGACAGAATTTGTCCCTAACAACAACAACAACAACAACAACAACAACAACAACAACAACAACACAGCTGCAACAACAGTTTAATGACAATAAGGTTTAATGACGATAGCGTGCTAGCTACCATAGGCTAACGCTAGCTGAGCTGGGGTCGCACTCTCCAGATTAAATCTTACCTTTGTCATCAAATTGTTTTGGTTTTCTTTCTTTTCTTTGTTGACTAACCTAGCTAGTCCCAGTGAGAGTTAGTGCGTGTCCGGGAATCTGAGCACACAAGCTACTTTGTGTGAAGATGAAGTGATGAAGAGTCCTCTCCTCTGCTGCTCCGGTGAGCTTTACACTTCACAGCTGTCCCTGACAACAACACACCGGCCGCTGTCGGCTGTACGCGCATGCGCTACGCTGTGCGCCACAAAGACGTCAACAATGCCATTTCCGCCCGGATATTTCAGAATAAAAGCGGGTTTACGACTGACTGACTACATTTTTTGTTGTTTCTACTGAGAAAATGATCATTGCAGTTAGGTTTTCCCTTAACCTGGTAGATGTGAGGATAAGTCACAGGCCAGCAGAGGTATATAGTAAGAGTAGTAGTTTAACATGAACAATTAAAGATAAATTGTCTCCCACAGTTGACACCTGAAGTTTATTTGTCAGTTCCAAAAAAATAAAAGAAAAAGAAATAACACATAGTTTCTTCAAGACCAGGGTATAAAAAATGTCTCACATGCTACGTAACTGTATATTACACACCTGTACAATGTCACAACATACAGTGTTATGAGGACAGAGTATAGAGCAGCAAATGTATTTTTACATCTTACTAAATTTAACTGAAGTGAAATAGTACTGTGTGGAGACACCACACCACTGGTGGCTGTCAGTCTATTTTGTGCCGATTTTACAATTTAAAACAATAACAAAATAACCTTTTCTTTCCTATAAAAGTCTTTATGTTAAAGAATTTCTTTCAAATGAATCATTGTTTCTCACGATTTATCATTTTTGCCATCAAATTACAACAGCCAGAACATTCCTCTTCTACACCAGTGAGTTGGTCAATGTTTTAGCCCTTTCATCCACCAGATGTTGCTAATGTGCTGCTGTGTAAGTGACAAACTAAATATAGTGAAAGAACAAAAGAAAAACTAGCTATGGGTGAACCGTGGCAACTGTAAAAATGTAGACCTGTAGTCTTTGCATTATAATATATTCAAGACAATCTCTTTTAGCTCTGTGAGTGACAATTGAACAACGTGATGACAAGAGAATTTCCACAGAACAATGTCCAAGTCAAAATCTTGCACATTTGTACCAGTCAAAGTTCACTTTATGCAATAACTTGTCCGTGGAGATGTGACACACACCCTGAAGAGAATTACTTCAACATTGCATTATGTGCCAGTCATTTCTTAGTGGTTAAACAATTTAAAAGTCTTACCGGGTTTTCTGTTTGTAGGTTTGCTGCAAGTATAGTGTGTAAAACTGAGTGAAAGATTAGTATTAACAAAATGCGTGATGGTTTAACAGCTGCGCTGGAGGAGTGGAAATGTCTGGAAGACGAATATCAACAACTTCAGGTAAGACACGGACCAAAATCAGCTGACAGAATCAGATATTTCACATAGAGCAGTTGTATAAGTCTTAACATACTGTTTGCTTTCTGTTACTCAAACCACATGATGATATGTTTTTAATATCTAGGAGTTAAATCTCTTGTAAAACCATATATCAATAATGATTGAGTTCATGTATAATGGTTGTGCTCCAGACTGTTTTATATTCCAAAAAGGTTTAAATGTTCCCTGTAATCTACATTTGTGTTCTTTTCATCCAGGAGACACACAGAATGTACTTACAGAAACTGGATGAAATTACAAAACTACAAAACAGCTGCTCTTCCTCCATTTCCAGTCACCGCAAACGACTGCAAGAGGTTTCCCTCCTGGTGAATAAGTAAGTTTACACACACACACACACACACACACACACACACACACACACACACACACACACACACACACACACACACACACACACACACACAAGCTTCCATCGACACAGATTTAAAGTAACACACATTGATAGTTCATCCGGTCATACACGCACATACATGCACACAGATCCAAAGGAGTGAAAGGAAAACTTGCTGATAGACAAAGTGGACCCATCTCAGCTCAACAAACATCTCATGATACAGACCTATCTCATGCACTTATATCATTCATCAGATGCAGCACAGGACCAGCAGAAGAAGATGCTAAAACCTTGGATGAAATCAAAGAGAAAATAAAGACCCGACCAAATGCTTTCTTTGAAATGGAATCTTATATTCCCAAGAAGAATGGGTAATGACTATTATTTAATCAAAAGCCCCAAAATACAAGTTTAAAATGCATAAAGATTGAACAATTACATATATATCCTTATTTAAAGTTAAATAATAATATGATTGTTTCATATTTCAGGTTGTACCTCAGTCTGGTTCTTGGAAATGTGAATGTGACTCTTCTCAGCAAGCAGTCAAAGTAAGTAACAACTATCAAAGCTAAGCCAACCATTTCCCCACTTTTTATTTGCGTGGTAACATCTGTCTGGTTAAACAACATTTTTCAGTCAGTTACTTTTCTTAGAATCAATCAAAAATGAAAAGAATATTTTAAAAAGATCTATTATTTCCAAATCAAACATTTCCTTCCACTGTACACTTAGACCTGGATTTGTTACATCCTTGTCAGATTTGCCTACAAAGATGAATACGAGAAGTTCAAGCTGTGTCTCACAGTCCTCCTGCTGCTCTTCTCCATCATTTGCTATTTCTTTGTGAGCTACAGGTAAACATCAACGTATCATACATCAACACTGAGTTTATTACATGGACACTGCATGTACTGTATGTCTAAATCCAGCACTTGTCCTATGTCCTGGACTTTAGATTTCTTGATGCAATCCTCAATTTCCTGCTGGTGTGGTACTATTGTACATTAACTATCAGGGAAAGTGTCCTCATCACCAACGGCTCCAGGTCAGTCCTGCACACTGCCTACATCCTACTAAATTAAACTACTATATGTTTTATGAATCAACTAATCATCATGGTAGTTAATCATCTTTAAAAAAAATATATGTCATGAACTTTTATGAACCTAAATGTAAAAACATACAATATAAATATTTAATGAAATGTGTCCTGCACCATAGAATCAAAGGCTGGTGGGTTTTTCATCATTACGTCTCAGCTTTTCTGTCCGGTGTGATGCTGACATGGTGAGTAGAGGAAGATAAAAACCCGACAGATTAACAACAATTAACAATGAAACTTTATTTTAACACATTCAAACTCAGGATATGTCATTAATACGATGCTTGCTGATTTGTCCATACCTGTTTTTGTTCAAATACATCCATTAAATTACAGTTTACAGTCTGTGTGATAACAAATTTCCTCCCTTTCACCCTGAAGGCCAGATGGGATCCTGTACAAAACATTCAGGAACCAGTTCCTTGCCTACTCCTTGTATCAAAGTAAGGTCAAAGTACTTGAAATACATTCATAGTTTTAACTTTACTGAATGAAACCAAAGCCTGATCAGTGTTTCTTTCATCTTAAACACACAGGTTTTGTTCAGTGTCTGCAGTGCTATTATCAGAGTGGGTGCCTGTACAGACTACGAGCTCTGGGAGAAAGACACAACATGGATCTGACCGTGGGTAAGGTACACCGACCAAGGACACATAATACAGACACACTCACACAGCTATATCATTATTAAATATTTAGTAAAAACCAACGAAGCTCCATCAAGGATGTCCGGGGCTCCCAGTTGTCACTGCTAATAAACAAATGTGTGTGGAGTTTAAAAAGTGATTTAAATTCTCATCTGCTTCCTGTTTTTAGAGGGATTTCAGTCATGGATGTGGAAAGGGCTGACGTTCCTTTTGCCCTTCCTCTTTTTTGGTCATGTGAGTACAGTCTGTGACACTGAGATGATTTGTAATTTGTAATTTGAGAAATTTCCTCGAACTACTGCTTAGTTTTCATCAAATATGCTTTGTCATGGTTTAGACTGGATGACACAGGAAAGGTGAAAAATAAGCTGATGTCATTTAGACTTATCCTGCGTGGGCCTGATTTGAGACAATGTTTAGGTTTTCTGGTTGATCTGGATAACAGCCTTAACCTTTAACGTTGCATTTATTCACCTTTAACAAAATAAACCCTTAAGTCCTCATGTGTTGTCTTGTAGTTCTGGCAGCTCTTCAATAGCCTGTCTCTCTTCAGAATGGCTCAGCTCCCAGACTGTAAGGAATGGCAGGTCAGTGCTTCAATGGTCATACAGTTGAACTGTTTCACCCTGTTCTTTCTTCCATAGCTGTTAAATATTTACTTTATTTATTTATCTTTCATCTAGTCAGAATTAGAACTTCTTATTTGCTCTAACTGTCTGTTTACAACGCCAGAGGGCTGATAACATTGCCAGAGGGCTGATTAAACAGTGTCTTCACATTTTGTCAGATATATTCCTGACAGCCCATCAGTGTTACGTTACAATGAGTTTTTGTATCAGTTTTTTTTTTGTTGTTGTATAAATACAGTTTCTCTGTGAAATCAGCCTCATGAATTTCCATTTGTATGTTTGAAAGCAACTCCACATTAATACTTAATCCCCACCTGATTCCCTCCATATATCGAGAAAATGCTTACAAATTCAAGCTTTTATGCTTACTCACTTATTGTTCTCTATGTTTCATGTGATGCCAGGTCTTGATGTGTGGTCTCTGCTTCCTTATTCTGTTCATGGGAAACTTCCTCACCACTGTTGCCGTCGTCCGTCAGAAGGTCAAGAGCAGGAATCAGAAACCAAAGAGTCTGTGATACATCCTAGTAAAACAAAAATCAACATGTCAAAAAATGTACAGTAGATACATAAATATAAAGAATGTGTTATAACTAATCAGTAACCATTAAAAGTTGAATTGTCTTCCAAAATAAAAGTTGAATTGTTCCAAAATGCCTCCAAATACCTTTGTATATATTTTACTTTCATAGTAAGAGCAATAAACAATGAATAAAATCACCCACCAATAAAATAAATCATCTGTAAATCTTTTCACTGACGGCCTCTGTGAAGCTGTTGTTGCATTTTTACATATTTTGTGCTTGTTCATACACGTCTCTTAATTGTGTTTGATTGCAGCCATTTATTCCTTTTTTGGCCTTTTATCTGGTTAGTAGTGAGTTTCCCAGTTCTTAAAATGAAGATAGAAACAGTGTATGTAACTTAGTACATTCACTAATGTATTTAAGTACAACTTTAAAGTACTCAACTTGAGTATTACCAATTTCTGTTACTTTACACTTCTACTTCACTACATTACAGAGGGAAATAACATTTATCTGAAAGCAATAGTTATTTTGCTGATTAAGATTGTATGTAAAAGAGATGATGAGTCTATACAATATGATTTATTGTTATCAATATTATATATTATGCTATAAAAATACATGTATTCAAATGTTTACTTTAAATTTAGAATACAATAGATTATTCAGAAATTCTGAATTATATAAAGAAGATTATTCTGTACACGGTTAGCACAAGTCCAACATATGGCAAAGTGCTTCATTTGAATTTCATAGATGAGTATTATGAGTAACTACATACATTCCCAGTATACACACAGTTGCAAGTTACAGCACTTGAGTACTAATTCACTTTAATTGCTGACAGGGGTCACTCTGCTCCAAAATGAGAACTTACTTTAGACTGTACAAATACATTTTGGTGTTAATACTTAACAGTCATTTCTGCTTAAGTAAGACTTTTAACTTCTTTACTCAGGTTAAAGAATCTGAATACTTCCACCAGTGTGCAGAATAGCTGCGCACTGCAGGCAGAAAACCTCAGGGCTATCTACCATGCACAGTGTCCTTGGTACTGTGAACATGAACACCCTTTACATTGAGGGGGACAGATATGTTTGATAATGGTACATCTCAGTCTGTCAAGGATACACAGTCTGTTCTACCGGTTACATTACACAACCATGACCCTTAACCTGCTGCACGTCTGCACCTATTTATTATAGCGTGTTACATATGCTCAGTCACATTAGGTAATGTATTTGTAGTCGGGTCCAAAATGCGACACCTGTCCGCCGAAATTATAAATAAATACGCTTATTTTTTAACGTCTGTTGGAGCAGAAGAGCTTATAAAAAAGAAAAACAGCACACATCTGTAACAACGGTAAAAAAAAATAAAATATCCCGAGTTTAGATTAATTTGGAGTTTGAAGTACAACAGTCCCCCACCCCCCCGCGGCCAGGATCGAGTTGGTTTGATCCTACATGGCGTAAAGTTTCCTTCCGCGTTGAGGACAGTGTGAGCCTGACACAAAGAGGGGAGGCGAAGGTAAGCACCAGATTCACATCTCTGCAGGGTTTTACATCGAGCTGTAGTCTGTGGCAGTCTGTGGGAATTAAACGTCAACGTTAATAGACTCAAACTGAACCTAGAAACTGTGAATACAGAGGAAATAATAGGCTATTCAGTAAAAAAAACAAAACATTAGCTTAAGAGAAGTGCTGACTCCAGTGTTACGCAAACTTAGATCTTCTCTGGAGAAAGTCCTTTCTAATTGGTGTGTGTAGGCTAAAACACATTAACTAAAGCTTTACAGGTATCATACTGTGGCCTACATTGTTTAGTCTCTGAATTAACCTGTACTTCTGACAGTATCATGCTTTCAGCCTGTGTTGTAACACGTCCAGGGAATAGTCGGGGCCCGAAGTCCTCTCCCGATGGGCTATCGCTCATCTTCCTCCTTATATCTAACCACCAGCGGTATTTTCTAAATAGAAAACATCTCATTAGCTGTAACCTAACTCCATTAAAACAGATAAAACCGATGTCTGCCTTACATGTGTAACTTAATCCACCATCTCTGTTACACAACTATTTGCGTTTAGAGGAGGGGAATTCAGTCAGGATGAACTCCAGTAAACCTCGTCCATGTCTGATTCATTGAACATTTACACCCCCAGTGGTAACTGATATTAAAGCTTATGTCTCCCGGCTTAATTGGCATCTAACCAAAAGTCTCGCATGGTTTTGGATACGCCTACTCTTTAAGCAGTGGGTCTGTCAAGTGTGTGGCTCTGTGTCAGAGGTGGTTGAGAGAGGTGACCAGACCGGTACTACTTTAATTAGTATTTGAGGTGAACTTGCTCTGAGGTAAGGTGTTAATTCTCATTAATAATAGTTGAATAATGATGAGATTAAAAGTTGCCTGTGCTGCTGTGTGGGTAGGGTTTGTGTGTTACTACCTGTGGTCCATGTTTGACACAGGAGGTGTTGGTGTTTTCAGGTTGGGGCTGCTAATTGCTGCGGCTGGGAGATCTCTAAGTAAAGTAGTCGGCATGGATACTGTATCACAACAGACAGGAGGCACTGATACTGTATAAGTGATGGAGGTTGTCAGCAGTTTATTAGGTACATCTAGCTAAAATTAACATATATATATATATATATATACTGGGTTGGACAAAATATACATTAATTTTAACTGCACTACAGATTGTTAAGGTATCACATAACTGCAGCTATGGATGGGTATCCTTAGGATTTTATTGATACCGATATCAATGCTGATACTACGTATCAGTACTCTTTTTGATAATACTCTTTAAATTGTTTTCTGAGTTTTTGCATTCAGCTGCACTTTCATTCCACTTTGTGAAACCAGCCCACACTTTTGCCCGGTCTGCACTACTTATGTATTGTTACATTAATACAGATGGCAGTATTATTTGACCAGGAGCTTACTGATATACTTCATAGTCAGGTACCAGTTTAGTTCTTGTTCTCGGGTGCCCATCCCTGTTCGTTACTCAGCTCCAGCCAGAGGACCCTCGTTGCATATCAAACCCCTGTTTCTTCCCCATCCTGTCTGCTTTTTTACTGTCCTCTGACTTATAAGATCAAACTGCCAAAACATGTTTTTGAAACTGTTTAATATCAGTTTAAAACTTCTGTTGTTGCGTTTAAGATGGACTTCGTTATAGCAGCTAATAGTGCTCCCAAATCTGATGGACTGGCAGGTATATTGGCTAATAGTAGCTTATCATCTTATCTGAGATGTCTGCTTTTAAAACAAACAATAAATGATAATTGATAATTAAATTGAAGTGATCCTTATTAAAGTGTTTGTTTATGCGTAAACAAGAAGAATATTGTTATCAGACTTTAAAAACTCTTAAATATCTATCGGTATCTGTCTTCCCGTATTTAAAGTGCTTGCTCATGGTGGTACTGTTGGGTCTCTGTAAATAATGTTATAAAGAGTTCAGACGGTAGAGACAGTATTACACGCCTTGAGGTCACTGTGACTCGACTTGGCACACATGTATCTCTGTACATAGTAACTGAAGTGGATTTGCTTAATGTATCAGTGAGCAAGCAAGTTTTTTGTTTTTTCTAGTAAGTGTGTGTATATGGCTCAGTCTAACTGTTGTGTAGCTGTGGGCTAGCCAGTTTAATGGATCAAAACCTGATCTCATTGTTTTCACTCTTTGAACCAAATTGAAACCTGAGAGCTCAGAACATGAAGTCCTTTCGTGCTCAGTGTGAAAAGATCTGCTGTCGTTGATGCATGACAAGAAATTCCTGATGTATGGGAAGCACTTGGTGACAATGTTATAGTATGTAGAGCCAATTGTTCAGTAATTCTTGCACAGAAGCCATTGTTGTATGGTATGGTATGCCATGTAGAGTACTGCTCATATACAGCACTCTACATGACATGCCACCACAGAGATATATATTAGCAATCATATTGTTCTGTGCAGCACTTTAACCAGTTTTCTCTAATGGTTATAGAGATATATGAGATACACATACCTTTAGCATGCATACAACTTGTGGAATTTAGTTATAAATGATAATATTTATTTTTCATTCTACATAATGAATACAGTTTAATACCTTTTTATTTAATTAACTCACTTAACCATGGAAGTTGCCTTAACTTATATCTGAATAAAAACATTGAACTCACCCTATGTGATTGGCCCCAATCAGTATCCATTATTCTCTTAATCATTGGTTGAGTTACTCTTTCTGTTTACTTATAATGGTTTGATTAATAAACTCAAACTGCAGTGAAAATACAAACCTGTTTCTGATTGTTATACGTTTTTAAAAAATCTATAACGGGAAGGGAGAAGATAAAACAAACTATATTTAAATATTTACAAGCTCAAACAACAACAACTATTTACATTAAGGCTAATCTATAGGAACACCCTAATCCAGAGATCCGGAGAAAAAGAGTGAGAGAGGAGGTGAAAGTAACTATAAACAAACTATAGGAACACCCTAATCCAGAGATCTGCTGTGAGAGAGAAGGTCAAACAAACTATTTACATATTTACAAGCTATAGGAACACCCTAATCCAGACATCCGGACAGAAAGGATGAGAGGCGGTTAAACGTGCACACCACACTTACTGCGCATGACACAAGAGACCCCTGTGCTGTTGGGGAATAGCCGTGGACAGCATTGCATTGTAATGATACACTGCCCATCCAAAAAGGAAAGTTGCACACTCTAATATTTCATTGGACCGCCTTTAGCTTTGAGTACGGCACACATTCGCTGGGGTATTATTTTGATAAGCTTCGGCAAAGTCACAACATTATCTGTCCAGAGTTGCATTCATTTTCCGCCAAGATCTTGTATTGATGATGGGAGAGTTGTCCCACTGCGCAAAGTCTTCTCCAGCACATCCCAAAGATTGTCATTGGGGCTGAGGTCTGGACTCTGTGGTGGCCAATCCATGTGCGAAAACATCACTCATTCACAATGTGAGCCCGATGAATCCTGGCATTGTCATCTTGGAATATGCCCGTGCCACCAGGGAAGAAAAACTCCATTGATGGAACGACCTGGTCATTCAGTAGATTCAGGTAGTCAGCTGACCTCACTTCATTCGCCTCTCTTCTTACCCTTATGCGCCCATCACTCTGGAACAGGTTAAATCTGTATTCATCAGACCACATGATCTTCTTCCACTGCTCCAGAGCTCAATCTTTATGCTACCTAGCAAACTGAAGCCTTTTTTTTTCAATTAGCCTCTCTGATCAGTGGTTTTCTTATGGCTACACAACTGTTTAGTCCCAATCCCTTGAGTTCCCTTCACGTTGTGCGTGTGGAAACGCTCTTACTTTCACTATTAAACATAGCCGTGAGTTCTGCTGTTGATTTCTTACGTTATGATTTCACTAAACGTTTAAGTGATCTCCGATCACAATCATTCAAGAGTTTTTTCCGACCACATTTCTTCCTCGAGGATGATGGTTCACCACTATCCTTCCAGGTTTTAATAATGCGTTGGACAGTTCTTAACCCGATTTTAGTAGTTTCAGCAATCTCCTTAGTTGTTTTCTTTGCTTGATGCAGGCCAATAATTTGACGCTTCTGAAACTGATTAACATCCTTTCCACCACAGGATATGTCTTCTGACATGGTTGTTTAAGAAATGAGAAGCTACTCACTGCATCAGCTAGGGTTAAATAACTTGTCGCCACCTGAAATATATTAATCACTGCAGTAATTATCTAATGGAAAGCTCTTACCGATTTGTTTAGTTAAATCCAGGTGGTAACTTTCTTTTGGACGGGCAGTGTACATTTCATTACTGTCGCAGAATTCATATCTTTGTGTCACAGGTGCTATTTTTACTGTCTCAGGGACAACAGGACTGCCTTAATTTCGAGCACTGTGTTTAGGAATATCCTACAAGAAGGCAGACTGGTGTAAAAGTTGTGTTTATTCTGTTCTCATGTAGATTGTCAACATGACAGACATGGACAGTGAGACCACCACCCACACGGAGCCCATGGTGGAAGAAGAGACGCCACTTCTCAGCAACCTGGACCTCTTCCTCTTCTCCCTGATTGTCGGCCTTGTCGTTTATTGGTTCATGTCCCGGAAGAAGCCTGAGCCCCTCCCCGAATTCAAGAAGCTCGACACACCGTGAGTATCCATCATGTTATACCTTAATCTTCCAAATCGAAGGAGAAGAGCATATATTGTCTGTTTTGTTCATGCTTTACTTGTCGTCATTAAAAAATCTCTTATAGTGTTGGGTATTATGTAGATTTTACAGATACTTGTGATTCTAATTCATGTTCAATTAATTGATTCTGACTTTGATTAAATCCTTGTTCCAGTTCTTGGAATATTATTTGAGCAAAATATGTTGGGAGCAAAAGCTAATTTTGGCTGCCAGTAACAGTAATTTGTCAAATGACAAGTTGTTTTGCAATTTTAAGGAGAATGAAAAGAAAGTAAACCTACTCATCTTACCACACTAAAGTTGGTTGTTTTTGCTACACTTGTATTAACGGAGTTCCACAGAATTTCACTACTTTGGGCTGTAATTAGTAATGTAAGGAATTACGTTTTCAAGTTAAATAACGCAATTACAATTACTGTAATTTTAAATGGCTTTGTTACTTTACGCATAGCTGAAAATAGTGGCAGCACATCCAAGCCCGTTGATTTTCCAGTTTAGGGTATGTAGTCACTCGACCGAATGGAGGGTCAAGACAGTTCAGTCCAGTCATCAAATAAATAAATAATTATTAACTAATTACTGTAGCAAAGCTTGGTTAATGTTTACCTTGGTGTGGGTCTTCTTTTACTGAATGCGCCTGTCTACTAACCAAGACACTGTAACTTACAGGTACTCATTGCTGCCCCCTGGTGGACAGGAGTGTTAATAACTAGATTTGTCTTGACCAACAGTAACACTAAGATCATAATATCTGACAGCTGTGATTAATAGGAGAATTGAAGCAGACTTTTAAAAGTGATGTTAAAGTTACTTTGCCAATTACTGCATATAAAAGTAATTAGTTACTCGGTAAAGTGTCACTATTCTTCAGTAACTTGCCCAACACTGATCATTACTGTTTTCTGTGAAACTTTGCCATACTTGTAAGCACTTGTAATGTATCAACACATTTAATCACCTCAGCTGGATAGCCATAGGTCTTAAATTTGCTTTCAGGAATTACGGTTGTCATAAATTTGGATCCTAATCTTGTATTTAGAGGTAACTTAACTTGTTGCCTCCATAGCGCCTTTTACTCATCCAGGAACAGGTTGTTGTTTTTTTGACACAGTTTCTGTTGAACAAACCTCGCCAAGAGGCACCATATTTACTTTGATACATAGCAGATTTCTGGCCAAACAATTGTGGAGTCATGGTTCTCCCCAGAGCTGCTATCCCAGCCTCAGTGATGATGTTACTTTGTAAAAAAAATTTAAATCAACAAAGGAAAAAGACTGTTTTGCCATTTATTGTATTTTATTTTATTTTGTTTCTCCTTTGAGATCAAGTAACTGTTTGATCTCACACATGCTGTAGTTTATGTAAATACTATAAAGTTGGTCTGAAATTGGAAAACACATGTTGTCCAGCAGCTGGAAGGAATGTTTTCATTGATCACGGAGGCGAATATCTTGGTGTAGTAAGAGTCTACTTTTTTTAAATCGTGTTTTCATCATTGAACTTTGCTTGTAGTTCAGCATACAGGAGAATGGTGATAATAGGAGTGTGTATCTTGATCTACAAGTGATTACATATAAGCAGTTAGAAAGAACAAATAGGGGCCATGAAGCAAGTGTGTGAGAGTGCACAGCTTAAGGCTTGTAAATGTTCCACTAGTTGCAAGTTGCGACCTTTGTTTTCTCTCTCTCTCTCTCTCTGGATTGCTCTTTTACACAGTCTCTCTCCTCTCACTCAGAAACGTATCTGACCTCACTCTCTCTCCGCCTGCCTCTTTCTTTCAGTGCATGTAATCCTCTCCCTCTCTGTTCCCTCCCCTCGTTACCTATCAGCGAAGTTATGGAGGCTTGGTTTGGTTTCAATAGACTCTCCTTCCATTGGCCACATTTTTAGTCCCTCCCCGACCACAACACAATTTCTTTGGTCACCAGAGTAAAAGCCACGGGCCAGCAGCAGCCACACTCGCTTGCGTGGTTGTGTGAATGGAGACAGTGTTGGAGGCCGAGTGGGGGAGATCCAGACCATTTGTGTGAAAACAGGAGGTTGGCTAAAAGGGGGGAAGAGCCCTGTGGAGCATGTGCTGCCTTTGGAAGAGCGTCTATCTGTGGAGGGCGGGAATACAGGAAGGGAACATAGAGCAACACAAGCGCCAAGCAAGTGTCCCCTCCCCTTAAAGGGAGCTGTGATTACCTAACTGTTATGAAGGGGGCGTAGTCTTCCATGTCTTTCCTGTGCTTTTGTTTTTGGCCCTGAACCCATTTTGAAAGTTCCCTGGAGAGCAAATGAGGAGGGCGAGCCAAACTCCTTTTGTGAGTCCTCTCCAAAGGTGGAAAGTTGAGGCAAAAGACAAGCAACCCTTTCTTTGCTCTGAGATTTTTTTTTTTTTCATTCTTCTTTTCCCCACTCTCCTGTTTTTCTTTTCTGTGTGCGTGTGTGCGTGTGTGTGGGCTGAGCTGCTCTGCCATTGGAGTAGGGCCATGTCACAAATGGAATCCTTTTATGATAAATGAGGTTGCCATAGCAATGACATTCCCCTCTCTCCTCCAGTGAGATGGGGGCGGGGGATACTTCAGAAAAAACTACCATTCACATTCACAGCCCCCCTCCTCCTCCTCTTCCTCCTCCCTCTTCAGTGGTCCACCGTGGAGTTGCTCTGATAACCATCCAAAATCTCAGAATGGATCTTGTAGACTTTTTCGTTCCCAACACCTTTCAGACCGGAGAGGGAAAGGGGCGGGGATGAGGAGGAAGGCATTTTCAGCCCGAGAGTGTTTCAGTGTGTGTGTGTGTGTGTGTGTGTGTGTGTGTGTGTGTGTGTGTGTGTGTGTGTGTGTGTGTGTGTGTGTGTGTGTGTGTGTGTGTGTGTGTGTGTGTGTGTGTGTGTGTGTGTGTGTGTGTGTGTGTGTGTGAGTCAAAAGTGTGGGTCTGCAGCTCGGCTACATTTTATGGGAAAGTCAGTTTCCCACCATTGTGTCCTCAGCGGTTGCCAGACACTGACAGGGCTTGTAGGCTGTGTGTGTGTGGTGGAGTCTTGTATGTGTGTGTGTGTGTGTGTGTGTGTGTGTGTGTGTGTAGAACAGACGCTGCTGGTTTCAGAGAGCAGCACAGGAAGAGACAGAGTTCAGATCGTGTTGGAGCCTCGATGGTGAAGGCAGGAGCTTTTCTAGACCTTGAGTGTCCGGCTGCCTTTCTGGACTGGTTTGATTTTCCCATCCTGTGGTTGTGGAGTGTTGACGTCCTGCTTTTGATTTTGAGTGTGGCGGTTCCCGGCGTGGCCTAGCCAGTGGTGCTAGTGGCAGTGGTGAGATAGAGGGCTGCATGCCATGGGCTGTGTCTTCTCCCTGCCAGAGGACAGGAGAGATGCTGCTGAAAGGTCAGTAAAAGTGGTTGATTTACTGCTCCTACTAACACACAATAAAATAGTTTTTTAATGAGGCTTGCTTTAAATTGTAAGTGATTTGTAAGTGTTGAACTGGTGGCTTGTTGCCAGAGTTGGCTAGAGTTGGAGAGATAGTGGTTTCAAAAACCATGCTATGTTCCCAGTAGGTCATGTAACCGATGGTTGTAAAATCTGTTTGACTACAAACACAATTTAATTATTGGGTCTTCTGTTTTTCTCTCTTTTTCCACAAGCTCCTCAAACGTTGTTAGCCATCATTGTGTGGCACATGTTCAGGCTTGTTTCATTTCATTTTAGTTTGATTTCCATTTTACTGGGGGGGTCTTTTAAAAGTATAAATCGGGTTGCAAAATGAAAAACCTAATTAATTGTAGCGTTCAAGATCACCTCCATGTTCGAATGAGCCTGTGTTTCAGAGCTGAACTGACTGCTTGTTTGAAAAGGTTTCATTTCTGGATGGATTAATGAATGGAAAGTAAATGTGTTTGATAGTGTATACACATGATGAGCTCTGCACTATATAGACTATACTGTAAATTGTTCACACAGTGACTAAATGCCAGCATGCATGAGTTTGTTTTTGTATGTGTGTAGAAAGGATGTTTAAGATTAGTCCAATTCCATGTTATCACAGTCAGTGTAGCAGATATCCCGTGATTTGCAAACACACCTGGAGACCCTTCTAGAGGCAGGCATTGGAAATCAGCTATAGCTACAAATGCTGTAATACATTGCATTGGTTAATTGTAAAGCACATTTCTATGTAGACTGTATCTTTCCCTATCAAATAAACATGAAGTGAAGTTATTACTTTAAATGTCAGTTTAAGGCTGCCTCATCAACTATGATTTGTCCCTTTTTTTAGTTTCTGTCTTTCTATTAAGATGTTGTTCTCTACTGAGATTAAAAACTAAACCCAAGTAACCCAAATATTTATCCAACGGGGAAATAACCAAGGAATAGATTAACCTTTCTGATTGGGCAGTTATTATTGAAATCACACACAGTTTGTGTAGTATTTGGAGTTACCAAGATGGGGTTATTAATCAAAAAGGGCTATCTTTTGCTCTATGTTTACTTTTACACATGCTCAAGATACTTGCATTTGCAGTATTCAGATGATGCATAGATTTTAAACTCTGAGAACTTGGCCGTTCCTCTCCCCTTTCTCTGTGGAGTGACAGTGGGGCCGGTGAGGCAGACGCCCTCAGCTGGAAACAGTTCAGACACCTAAAGCTGTCAGGAATGCTTCAGCTTGGGGGCAAAGGCTTGTTTTAGGTTTTTGATCAGGAATTTACACGTTGCTTCAGAGTCCAGTCCTTAATAACCACTGGGGCCCGGTTTTTATGGCATGTTGGGCATCATTCCCACATGGCTACACTCTGCACCCCGCTGCTCTGTGAGTGGGTTCTTCAGGTTGTAAATTGTTTCACTAAATGTGTGTTAGAGACCAAATTAAATCAGATGCTCTTTGTGTATAATGCATTCATACTTCATATAGCCCAGGTCAAATATAGCACATTAATATATCTCCATTTCTCTTTGCTGTTATGGCTATCCCACAGCCTTGTTCTTCTAAATGTAAAATCTGAAAATATATTCCTTTGGCAAACTATTTATGCATGTTATTATGTGTATCCTTTTTACTCCTTTCTCAGTGCAGACAGAATTGCAGCTGTCCACTCAGACCTTTGATGCTGAATGAAGCGGCGTTGCCTTTTATTTGGCTTGATAATAGATTTAGCTTCCTGTGTCCCTTTCTACTAAGACTGTGTTTGTGCGTGTTGTTTTGATCTGTTCCCATCCATTATTAATTACTTCCAGGACACATCTGAATCAAGATTTTGAATTACCATGAGCTGTAACCCTAGGAATTGGAATTGATTTGATTTTTTTGATTCCAATGATATTGTCGATCCTGCTTATTGGTCAGATTCTTCATCGATGTGTGAGAAGAAGTAGGCCTACGCTGGTTTTCAGCATCAACTGTTTTAAAATCTCTAAACCTGAACACTGTGAACATTCTGTGTCCTAATTGTAGCAACAATCTGTCATCATCTAAAATGGATTAAATACACATTTCCTTCAAGTTTTTTTTTGTCAAAGAAAAAATGTGTTTCCACCAACATAGTCACGAGTTCATTAGAAACACGTCCAATGAGCTCTGAGGCGTATGACTCCGATGACACTTTGGAACCGGTTATCGTTTCCCATTCCATTTGTTGCATGTCATCCTCTTTCCGGTTTTCTTACGTAATGTATGCTCATGCTTAGTACGTGCTTGTACATACAGTTAGTATGACTAATGCTTGTGTGACTGCTGAGTCACTGTTCGAACTCCCTATTGTTGTAAGAATAACACTAATGATGACAAGACAATTTTCCCACTTTGCACTATTGTTACAAACCAAAACTCCCTCAAATAAAATGATTCAAATTGATGCTTTAATGCTATGTTATGCGATACATTCGATATTTAAACAATGACTAATTTCCTTAGTTTTAATTAATAGAATCATCATTGTTTGCTTGTGGACTTTTTACCTAGATTAAGTAGCTTGTTTCAACCACATTTACCTTAACTATCAGAGCGTTGCCTGCTTTTGTCTCATGAGTCATTATTATATTACCTTTTGCATTTTAAATAAAATAAATCCCTTATAGATTAATGTTCTTGTCCTCACTCTGGACTTGCAGTGCTTCAACAACAGGTGGTCATTAAAAACATGGACTAAGACTAGACGGCAGCTTGATATTCATTTTAGTCTTCTAGAGCTGTTAAAGGTTTTCACTGGTAATGTTTGTAAAGAGATTAGAAAAACAGTCCTATATTTCCATTTATAATCAGGTTGGATCATTAAGTCACTTTTCATTATGTTGGAAATTTAGCTTAAATTCATATAGGCTGAATATTTAATAAGGCCTTTAAATGATAAAAGAGTACTTCCACCGATCCAGTGTGAAAGTAGCTTTTTTCTAAGGAAAGAAAATATATTTAATTTTTTTCAATTGAATTTATGTGCACAATATTTCCCACAGCTGGTGTTTGGTGAACTATATAGTTGTTTATAAAACAATATCATGGCAAAGGACAGATTGACCCAATAAGTTACTTAATAACAAGTCAAATCTGTTTTTTCTCCAGAGCACCCACTATAAGAGAGACGAGTTTCATCGAGAAAATGAAGAAAATGGTGAGTTTTTATTTTCAGTCATTTAATCCTTCCCATCATTTTAACTGTCTTATTTTGACCACATAGAGAAATTCTCCAGGAGCAGTTTTCTTTGCTGTTGTGACATTACAGGGTTTAAAAAAAGACTGTGAGCCATTTGGGGTAGATAGTTTATGTATAAAGTGTTTGTGTTCACCACATGTTGATCAACCTTGAAGTTGTTTTCCACAGTAAATACCTGTTTGATGTCAAAGTGTGGAAAAGTGTATTTGCTTGTAGTAGTTCAACAGTCAGTAAAATGCTAAAATGTCTCCTTTTTTGCTCTGTGGAAGAACAATGCGATTACTATAATGGTCTGCTAATGTGATTATATCTAGTTCTAGATTTGGAAACTCTGTTTTGACTTTGACGGTCCTCAGCTTTAAAGCTTGCCTTGAGAAAAGACTTTTGGTTTTGAATCATGTGGTTTTGCAGCAAATAGTTCAGATACCATGATGGTGGCAGAAGAGAACGTTGGCCCCAGTGCTATTTAATTTACTCTCTGTTTTCCTTTTGTTGTGAATTATCATGGCAACATTGTCGGCAAGGATAAAACATTTTCTCACAAATACGTGTAAAGATGGTAAAAAAGTTTATTTATGGCAAGTTATATGTTGGATGTAGTTTGACATTATGCAGTTTGGGCTGCGCTAATATAATCTCCCTGTCACATGCAAGTGCTCTTGTTGGCAATGCAGCGTTTCAGGATTTGGGAGAAAATACATTCTGAATAAATTTTAGTTAAATAACAAAGATCTGTTGTACTTGCACTCGGTCTGTGTTTGATAAAGCAGCGTCTAGACATAAGAGACAGGTTAGGTTTTTGTTGTAGTTTTGGCTGAAAGCTTTTACTTGCACCATGTAAATGTTATTTTCTGTCAATTTCTAACCAGGGCAAGAACATCATTGTGTTCTACGGCTCCCAGACGGGCACAGGAGAGGAATTTGCTAACAGACTGTCCAAAGACGCTCAGCGGTACGGCATGAAAGGAATGGCTGCTGATCCAGAGGAGTACGACATGGTAAGTTGCATCAGTGGAAGAGAAACCACAGAATTAAAATAAACATTCTTACTCATTACAGCTGCCAGTAAATTATTTGTGATAGTGTCATGGAAAAAGTATCGCTGCGGTGCTGAAGACGATAATCCGATTCTCCTGCACTGTCCAGACATGAGACTTTAGTCATTTTGATGATAATATTATTACATATCCCACGGCAGATTCTAAATGAGCCAATTAACAGTTTATAATAACTGCCATGATAATACGACCTCTGCAAATTATATTATATTCACTGTGCTAAAATAGAACCTGCCCAGGCATAAAGACTCAAGGACAGCACACACTCATATCAACATGTGTGCGCTATTTCATTCTGTCATAATAATAGTAAGTGTACAATATTCTGACCTCAGGCTTTATCCAAGAATGTGTTGTTGTGTGTCAGAACCAGTATAGAAACAGGTAATATACTTAGCACTTAATTAAATGTAATAATATGTAATGACCAGTCAGATATTGAAGACAGACTTCCTTAAATATATTAGTCGTTCAGTGTCCTTTGTCTCTGATTCTCATGTTCTAGGGGGAACTGTCCCGTCTGTCTGAGATTGAAAACTCCCTCGCCATATTTTGCATGGCCACCTACGGTGAAGGAGACCCAACAGATAATGCCCAGGACTTCTATGACTGGCTGCAGGAAAATGATGATGAAAATCTCTCTGGACTAAACTACACTGTGAGTCTTTGTGCTCAACTTCTGTACACATCAACTTCTTACAAGCTTACAAGAATGCAGAGAAATGTGTGAATTGTCAAATATGTGATTGTATAGGAACTGTTGGGAGTGTTGGTGTTGTTGGCTTTTCCGACCATCAGCCCAAAACCCCCAAATACTCTACTTTAAGACCAAGAAAAGCAATTAATTATCACTATTGAACACCTGGAACCGTCAGACATTTGGCATTTTAGATTAAAAAGGACTTCAACCATTATTACTTTACCAAAATAGTTGCTGTTTTAAAGTTCAACCAATTGACTAATCAGTTAATAGACTTATCGTTACAGCTCTAGTTTCATGTTCAAGTGAAATGCATATGAGCTCGATGGATCTCATAGACTTAATATATGAGTGACTTTTGTTTTTCAATGTGCACATTTGTTGTATAGCTTCTGTTTTGTTTCTTCATTCAGTTTTCAAAGAATGCAAATGATCTCCCTTTGATATATTTTATAGGTAATGTTGCATGGAAATTTTAATAGCTAGTTTGGACTCCTGGGATGTTGGGATTTTGGTCACTATTGCTGCTTCACAACCTGTTTAGTCACACTATGTCAGTTTGCACGTTTGTCTCACTGACATTCAGCACACAGGCTTCACTGGCATGAGCTGCGTCGGGCTTTGTGTGCATCATGAAAGAAAAGGGCTTTGTGTGTTGTCATGTTTGGTCTGTCTGTGCGTGTATGTCATTGTTGGAGGACAGCGCTCCTGACCTCATTTGAGTGAAGAACTTGGCTGTGGGAAATCAAGCTAAATTCCTGGCCACGGTCACGTCCTTCCTCTTGAATTTTATCTGTTGCCTCTCTGGTCTGTATCGGAGCGAGAGGTTTTCAGGGTCTCTTGTTAGACATTAGGCATTTCAGTTTGGCATGTTGTTTCCATTCTGTAATTTAGTAAAATAAATGAAACAATTTGAGGATGCGTTCACCATTAAACCAACAAGCAGGGAAACATTAATTGATTAACCGACATCACAAGACATTTTTTAGATTAATTGTTAATTACTGAAACCACAGTTCATCGTGTACTTTTGTTTCCGGCTTCGCTGCTTGTTTGGCTGAAGACTGTGCCATGTCTGGTTACTGATTGTTTCTCACCGTGTCCTGTTCTGTTTCCAGGTATTTGGTTTGGGCAACAAGACATATGAACACTACAATTCAATGGGAAAGTATGTTGATAAAAGGCTGGAAGAACTTGGAGCCAAGCGCATCTTTGATCTTGGTTTAGGAGACGACGATGGCAAGTAAGTGTGGCCGATATTAACCCTCTGAGCCGAAAAAGAAATGATGACTGATGTATCGCCGGGTGTAGAGGTGTCCAGTACAGCACAAATAACATAACCCCTTCTTCTTAATGCAAGGACAAAGGTTACATTATTGACCCCCAAATCATAAAAATCATCAGTATGTTTGCTGCATCCAGCACATATTATGGGTTGTTTTGTCTTTGAAGGAACATTCACATTTTCTTTCTTTCTCTCTATTTGTAAAATGTACTGTGTTGTCATGAATACATTTGTTGAATAAGGGTGAATTCAAACGTGGCCTGGTTTTGTTTTTCAGTCTGGAAGAGGACTTCATTTCATGGAGAGAGCAGTTCTGGCCGGCCGTCTGTGAGCACTTTGGAGTGGAAGCCTTGGGAGATGACTCAAGGTTCATTCACACACGTTTTTTTCATAATTTCAAGTTTTGACTGTTTTATAATCACCATGTTTTTACCATGCCTATTAAGCAGCCATATTGTCAGCTGTGATTTCTTAAACTTACTAGGAGTTTTTAACCGATTAAGCTTAAGTTTTTCTTTACGCAACTGAGTCAGATTCCTTTTGAAATCAATGAAATAAAGCAGTAGAAACTCTTTTGACCACAGGGGCCGCCAGAATCATTTAAAAAACAAAAGTTCTTTGGGCTGGGCGTACTCTACCCAGAATCTTTTTGTTTTTCCTTTATTTGAAGACTAATATATAATAATGATGATGATGATGATGATATAATGATAAATTAGGACATACCTGATTTATGGTAAACCCCACCCACCTGAATGTGAAAGGAACAAATGCCAAGAATCATCCAGTATTTGACCTACGTGGTCATGCATCATCCTAAAGAGACAACAAATGTCTCATCTCAATATCAGTTTTCATTTAATTTCACTAGAAATTCAATTTGATTTCACTGTGTCTGTGTGCAGTGGCTAAAGAGGCTAACCCTATAGTTATTTTCTTTCGCAGCATACGGCAGTATGAGTTGAAGGTGCATACTGACATGAACATGAACAAAGTGTACACAGGAGAGATTGGACGCCTGAAGAGTTTTGAGGTCCAAAAGCCGTAAGTACTGTAGCAGAGAAGCTGTTCACCACCAGCACTCATTCATCATTAAAGTGCTGTCTGCTCTGTCATTGATCACATTTCACCTACATTTATAACCATGTGTAAAGTTTACTAAAGGTCACTTTCTAAAAGTGAAGCTTTCTGCCCCCTAGTGGACTTGAGGAACACATTCATGCTGCCTGTATTTTATCAAACTTTAATAAGTCATTTGTTAATTGAGTATAAGCTCTTTTATGGTCTACGGCAGATTTATAATCTTTTTGTAAATGCATTGTTACATTTAAGTGTTTCTCTTTTATTTATAGGCCGTTTGATTCGAAAAACCCTTTCTTGGCCACAGTGACCGTCAACAGGAAACTCAACAAGGCTGGTGATAGACATTTTATGCATCTGGAATTGGACATAACAGGCTCCAAAATCAGGTGAGACTGGTTGGATACATCTTGTTAACTTCTTTATATGCTTGTTCACATCCCTAACACCATATGAGTAGATGAAAAACCCTGATCCATGTTCCGGTTTAAGGTTTTATGAATACAGGTCAAAGTCTCAATTTGTCACATTGTGTGATTTCAGATATGAGTCAGGTGACCACGTTGCCGTTTTCCCCACAAATGAATCTGCGTTGGTGAACAAGTTGGGACAAATCCTTGGAGTGGACCTTGATGTTGTTATCTCTCTCAACAACCTTGATGGTATGGCATTAAAAGCCTGAAGCACCTTGACTTTACTAGCTTGTCCCTCAAACCCTCTCACGGAAACCTCCCTTCATATCTGGACTTGCAGTATCAGCTCACTTAATGCATATGAACTGTATATTGTTATACTACTGCAATTACATGTTATTGCAGTAATATAAGGCTTTTGTAATTAATTAAATGAGTTTCCTGTTGTTAAGAAGGTCAGATGGCCATGAAATGAACGTTGAGATAATAATGTTTTATTTATTTTTCAGAGGAGTCCAACAAGAAGCACCCGTTCCCCTGCCCCACCACATACCGCACGGCCCTCACTCACTACCTGGACATCACACATCCTCCTCGCACCAACGTCCTCTATGAGCTGGCACAGTATGCCTCTGACCCCAAAGACCAGGAGAATATGCGCAAGATGGCCTCTTCCTCACCTGAGGGCAAGGTCAGTAACAGGTTGATTGGATGTGGTATTAAAATAATGGCCTAAAGGTTTGAATAGCGAGCTGCTCAGTGCCCAGTAGATCAGACGGTGGTTGTACTGGACAGCTTCCAGGTGTGAATGTGATCAGGGCGTTCCTAAAAAAAGAGAGCATTGCTCTCAGCGAAATTCCCCTGACTCAGTTTACAGTTACATGTCACCCATCTTGTAAATCCTTACCTGGGCTTATAATGCATACTGAAGTGTACATCTTTGATGCCCCTTACTCAACCATTAATGTCTTTTTGTTGCTTCTTCTGTGCAGGCACTCTACCAGAATTGGGTGTTGGATGCCAATAGAAACATCCTTGCCATCCTAGAGGATATGCCTTCTTTGAGGCCTCCCGTTGACCACTTGTGTGAGCTGCTGCCTCGTCTCCAGGCTCGCTACTATTCCATCGCCTCCTCCTCTAAGGTAATCCCTGTTTCAGTCACCCAAGACAGGCAGCGTCATATCCTTAACTTTTGTCACAGACTTACAGATGTTCTTTGATATGTTTATTAGCAGTGAAGACATATAAAAATGTTCTGAGAATTAAAGTGGAGGACTGTTGTGAACTGTATCTGTTCTGTAGGTTCATCCCAACAGCATCCACATCTGTGCCGTATTGGTAGAGTACACGACCAAGACTGGACGCGTCAACTTAGGAGTTGCTACCAACTGGCTGAAGAACAAACCCGTCACAGACAACGGGCACAAGTCCACCGTTCCCATGTACATCCGCAAGTCTCAGTTCCGCCTGCCCTTCAAAGCCACCAACCCAGTGATCATGATTGGGCCTGGGACAGGAATCGCCCCCTTCATGGGCTTCATCCAAGAGAGGGGCTGGCTAAAAGAGCAAGGTATTTATAGACACTGTATGCCATGGTGTGTGCGTGTACGTGTACGTGTGTGTGTGTGTGCGCGTGTGCTCTTTTACAACCTCCACAAGGATAGAAAGATGAGGAGAAAGACCTCCAAACAGTCTTTAAAGGCAAGGTATTTAAAGGTTAATGGACACAAGTAATCAATGCCTTTATAACTTTATTCAGTTATGAGCCTGCTTACAAAGTTACTTATCAATCATGATACATGTGTGCAGTTGTGTTCAACAGTTAGTTGAAGAGCAAAATAACCAATGTTTTGTTTTGTTTTGTTTTGTTTTATAGGAAAGGAGGTTGGAGAGACAGTCATGTATTTTGGCTGCAGATATAAGAACGAGGATTATATCTACCAGGAGGAGCTGGAGGAAGCAGAGAAGAACAAGGTTCTAACACAGCTTCATGTTGCCTTCTCCAGAGACCAAGAACATAAGGTACGGCTGTCTTTATATATATATATATATATATATATATATATATATATATATATATATATATATATATATATATATATATTTTTTTTTTTTTTTTTTTTTTTTTTTTTTTTGGAGAATGTACCGTTGTAAATGTTGTCAGTCACAACCTACCTCTGTTACGTCTCAAGAAACAATCCACACTCAGCAACATTATTAGTAGTTTTCAACTGGTCTTTGTTAAAACTTTTCGCCATATGTGTGCCTTAAACATACAGTTTAAAACACATATATAAAAAATGTTTTCTCTTTCCATTTTCAAAAATAAAGGTGTACGTGCAGCATCTCATAAAGAACAATAAGGAGAACCTCTGGAAGCTGATTCACTCAGACAACGCTCATATCTACGTCTGCGGGTGAGTACCAAATTCTCGATGTCATGTATTCAAAGAAACTGAACCATCACATTCAGTATTTTTGTTGACTATTGGTACAATACCCATAAACAAAGTCCATTAGACATCCAAAGTAATCTCTCTTTCCTGTTTTTTAGGGATGCAAGGTACATGGCTAAAGATGTGCAGACAGCCTTCCACGATATGGCAGAAGAGCTGGGAGGCATGACACGCACCCAGGCCACAGATTATGTCAAGAAACTGATGACCAAGGGACGCTACTCGCAAGATGTCTGGAGTTAAAGAGCCTCAGACTTTGCTTCAGTCGCTGGTTTTAAATGTTCTATTTTTACTGTATGTCTTGTTTTATCAGGACTGAATATAAAAACATTTAACACTTGTTCATCTCCCTGGTTCGTGAGAGCTACAGGTAGCAGAAGATCATGAGGCAAACCCTACCTCAGCAGGTTTTTGCTAATAAACCCATTCAGTAATTTCCTAATGTATACCTTGTGTATCTGGACCACCAGCCTGTGTCTGCAGGGGTCCTCACTTGAGCCGCTTTCTCAGACCAAACAACAGTTACCCCGTCTGGTTTCCAGAGACTTTAAAGAGTCTCTGATATAAATTAATGAATTTGTGTAATTTGGTGTTTTTAATTGCAACTCAGTTTGTAAGAACTCGCTGGCAGAGGTACAGAATATAAGACCACTGTGAACATGAAGATTTAAATTCAAAATTGATAACACTCTTTCAAGTTTGTAACTTTCATCTGATTGATTAATGGATTGTAGCCACCGCAGCGGGTAATATTGCATTATATGTAAAGTGAACCTGTGGAGCGTTGTGTTCCTGTGGCAGTGCGAACACTCAGAGAAGCTTTAGACATGAAAGGAGCTCATCTAGTGGTGCTTTCAAAAGAACTTCAAATTTTTTAGAAAAAGTGAGGAAAATGTTGGCATCATAGGTACACTTGTGTTTACCTTTGTGTTTTTGACAAGGGATTTCGCCTCTTATGCATAAGTTTCTGTTCATTTTAATCAGTAACAGTAACCTTTTTAGAGGCACAGACAGTGATGCAAAGGGGGAAGATCATTTATAGAAAGAAAACGTGAGATTATGTGCATTTTTATTTCCTATAAAAGCCTGTTTATAAACATGATAAAAATGAATCTGTAGGTATCCTATATTTGTAAAATAACATTTGAAATGTTGGCCTTGAAACCAGATCTGCCCTGTTTATTTCATATGCATCTGACAGCAGAGGATTATAAAATGGGTTTGTAATGTCGCGGTAACACTCGGGGACATATGACAGCAACCTCTATTTGATTGATATCTGTGCTTTTTTTTTTTTTTTTTATCTTGTCCAATCACATATGCACCACTACAGTCTGGAGAAGATGACCAGACATATCAGAACATTTTGTGTGTCTACCAGCATCCATCAGTCAGTGCTCATCCCACTACTTTTGTGTGAATAATGGGTGTTTGAGGTGTTCAGCCAACCTGAAGTGCAGCCTGTGCCTTTTTTATTAATGCCTTATGTATTAAGTTAGCATTAAAACCTTGACGCTTCACTGTCTAACAGGTTTTCTTCTTCCATGCTTACATTTTGATAGTCACTTTATCCAGCCCTGTCACCTTTATGTCATTTCATTTTATGATGTAATGATTTGATTTCATTGAGGCATGCATTTTTTAATGAATAAAATTGAAATAATGTGTTGGGTTAATGATTTTTGAGGTGTATTTATATTCAGTGGCTTTATTCAACTGTATTAACAGAACATGTACCGTAAGCATTGTACACAATAGTTGAGTTAGACAATCAGTGTAACTCTCAAGTCTATTTTGTATTCTGAACTCTCGCAGTTTATCTCAACCATCTGTTTACCATTTGTCATCATGAGGTTTCAGCTCCCTCCCTCTAATATTCACGAGGCAGCAATGAGAGATTAAAATCACACAGGGCTGCAGACTGTTTATGTTTTAATTGAATCAGCAGCTGCTCCTATCACGAGTGACTCTCAGTAACCCGACCAGCAGCCTGTTCCAAGAAGCAAGTGTACTGACCTGTATTTGTACAAGTTATCTGAACACTGAATCCCCTCAGATCTGTTAGAAGGACTGATGAGATAAATATTGGGTTACATAAAGTCATTGTCCATTAAGATATACATTCATATTGTCTTTACGGTACAATTCATGGGTCCAGAAATTCATAAAATATGAAATAATTGAACTTGTCACTGTGCCAGTAGATGTAAATTTGTCAGACCTTTTTCATGACAGAGACTTCTCATAGCAAGAAGAGCACAGGTTGAACTAATATTGTTACTGATGTGAACGTGTGAAGAGTATGGATCTTATATATATTGTCATTAGTATGGATCCAGGAGGATGTAGAACCTGACCTCCACTGTGGAGACCTGAAACGAGGACAGGTCACACAAACACAGAAGAATTGAGCACAACACTCACACAGATAGGAGAGATAAACAAACACACAGAGGGAGAGAAAGAGACATGATAGCGTGCATGCAGGTCACAAAATGTTTTGTTTTTGAAGGTCCATTGGGTCAGTCATACAAACACAGCCTTGTTTTTGTTATTTCAGACAAGGACATTGCATTGACTTTTATTAGACTTACCCTAATCTTAACCAAAAAGCTACCCACAAATGTAACGATTTACCTTGTGTGGAACAGCATTTTGTACCCAAATAGGAGGTGAATGTGTCTGTGTGAACAGACTTTTATACCCACAACATAATAAACACAAGTACGTACACACACACACACACACACACACACACACACTTGAGCAAGTGCCAAAACTGCCCCCCCCCACCACACCGACTTTGTAAATGAATTAATAAAACCTAGTGTGACTAGTTAAAACTGCATAGAAGAAAATTCCATTCGACATAACAGACAAAAAGATTAATATTGATATAGCCTAATACCTAATCAATCTGCATGGGGAATTTTTCCAGCTAACTAATGAGCACACAATGCACTACAGACAGTTATATACCACAGTGTATTTAAGTTTTTTTTTTAGGGTACCCTTTCATCATTTATTTATTTATTTATTTGCACTATTTAATATACTATTTGCACTTTTTGCAGATGTTGAAGGACCCCCGTCTGTACTTCCTGAGAAGGCTGGGTCCTTCAACATCTGCAAAAACTGCTGCAGATGTTTTACCAGTCTGTGGTGGCCAGCGTCCTCTTTTATGCTGTGGTTTGCTGGGGAGGAAGCAAGAAGAGAGACACCGGTCGACTGGACGGACTGGTGAGGAGAGCTGGCTCAGTGGTAGGCACAGAGCTGGACTCTGGTGACAGTGGCAGAGAGAAGGACCCTGGACAACACCTTCACCAGGCAGAGGAGTGTGTTCAGTGGCAGACTGCTGTCCCAGTCCATCTCCACCAACAGACTCAAAAACTCTTCCGTCCCCCATCAGACTGTACAACAGCTCTCAGTAAAGGCAGGGAGGACAATGGACAATTTCTATCTGTATTCTGCACATCCATTTGCACAGTTTACTATAGCTACTGTTAATTATATATATATAATATATATAATACTTTATATTTTATCTTTTATTTTATTTTTAATTTTATTCTTAAGGTTAAGGTTTTTAAATTTAGTTTAATGTATGTTTTGTACTTTGTATGCTACTGGATACCTGAATTTCCCTCGGGATAAATAAAGTATCTATCTATCTATCTATCTATCTATCTATCTATCTATCTATCTATCTATCTATCTATCCATCTATCCATCTATCTATCTATCTATCACTATTAGTACTGTACAGTTTCACATAGATGTATACATATATACCGGTATATGTAATTTCCTGCATTGCACATTATTAGTTTCAGACCTGTACTTTATATTCTTAGTCCTGTCTAGCCTATATTTTGTCTGCTAAATTACTGCTGTATATACTTTTATCCTGTGCAATGATGAGTTTTCATTACATCTAGCATTTTTCTATTTTATTTTGCTATTTAATGTGTATGTAATTCTTCTTATCTGCAGCGTTTTATCCGGAGCTCCCTCAGTGTGTGGGATCAATAAAAAAAGTTATCCATCTCAGCATAACCCAGTGAAACAGTAGGTGGCGACATTATCGGGGATGTTTTGAATGCGAGCAGCTCGTTCAATCAGGAAGAAGAAGAAGCTCCATAAGGGAAGTGCCGCAGTGTGTCCGCGTCCATTCTGTGGCGCTGCGTTCATGTCGACCTGGGTTTTTAGCAGCTAATCAGAAGAAACACACTTCATTGTTTTTTAAACTATATATATATATCTATATATATATATATATATATAAGACGGCACAGAATGGCCACTGGTAAGTCAGCATGTGTTTTGACTGTGTGATAGTTGTGTTGTTTTTTTTTTAAGCATGTATAATGAAAAGTGGGTCGATTAGCATTGGAGCTAATTTAGCGGACAACCGCGAGGCCAGAAGAAGGGGCTCCGTCTATTTCATGGAGCCCAGCTCATCTTTCATTAGCACAGCCGAGCTAGCTTCATCGTGTAGTTGAGTAAACCTTTCTTCAGTGCGGAGTTCACTCTGTAATGACTTTATATTTCCCCCGCATTGAGTCGTACCGTCAGTGTACGTTCATGTCGCAGACTGACGGAGCAGGGCCTCGTCGAGGCTAGCTAACTTAGCCCGCGGTGTGTGCTAGCGGCAGCGAACTTCAATGCGTCTTTGTTTATACCGGAGCTGTTGTTTCCCTGCTGGGAGAGAAACACTGTGCGCACACTCTAGTTCAACACTTGTACTTATAAAACAAGTTGGCAGTATTCAGTTTGTTTAAAAGGAAACTCTCTGCCGAGCATTGCTAGCGTTTATAAACCCGTGGTAGTTTCTTCGTTTCAGCATTTAGCCCAAGCCGGAACCTAATTGACCGCCATTTTTATGGGATTGGCGTGGTGACGGGCCTGTTTGCGTGAAGCTGTCCTACTTAAATAACCCACTTCTTCCGTAAAGTCAGCTGATCTTTGGCGCAGTGTTTAGCAAACATACTGTAACTTCTGTTCCTCCAGGTAACCGGTTGTTCTTACGTTTAATCTCTGCTTTGTTTCTCTTTTTAAGATTCAGGCTACGGTGGCTCACAAAGGTAATGTACAAACAAACACGCCCCACATTCACTTCACATGTAGGCATTGATAAACAGTTCACAGTCTTATTTAAAGTGTTGTTGAAATATAATATATATAATAAAGTGTTTGAATGCTCCTGACAACCAGCAGCTAACTGCTCTTTATCACGTGTCTGTAGCTATGGATCATATGGCGGTCAGCAGAGTGGACAGGTAAGACCCTTCCCCTGGACTACTATCTGTCTGTCACCTGTACACATTATAGCTTTAAACCAGTTCTTACTATTTGATTATATACGCTGACTAACTGGTCCCTCTCTGTTTGACAGGGCTATGGCCAAGGAAATGGCAGTAGCACTTACGGGGGGCAGAGTTACAGTGGCTATGGACAGCAAGGTGCGACACAAGGTAAAGTATATGTCCAGTGTCCATCCTCTTTAATTTGTCAAACTCTCACCCTATACTTAATCCTCATTAGGCCAATAGAAAAATTCAGGATGTTTAAAGATAATTTTTAATGAGATACGTTGCACCATGGACCAAAATGAAACAGATTTTAATCCGTTTTGGAAAAAATTAATGTTTCTGTATTTTGTGAATTGTCTTTTTGATGTATCTCTGTATTTTAACAGACGGTTATAGCCAGTCTCAGCCACAGAGTTATGATAACTACGGACAGGAGTCAACTGGGTAAGACGCTCATATTACATTGTTCACTGACCTTCGGAAATGATGTAATTCAAAACTATTATTGTACATCTAATAAACCTAGGTGTGAAATTTGTTGTATAGAAAACTAACATATCCATCATGGTAACCAGTAAATCAAGTATGCAGATGAAGCTCAAACTCATTGTTGGATTCTCATGTCTGTTCTAACTAATTGCTTAAAACATTTCAAGGTATGGCGACAAGTCATCTTATGGGCAGCCGGCTTCCTATGGCGCTCCAGGACAAGGAGGAGACAGTTATGGACAGCAAAGCTCCTACGGCAGCCAAGGTGCCGGCGGTGGCAGTGTTGCTGGTGCTGGTGCCGGTGCTGGTGGCGGAAGTGGTGCCGGCGGCTATGGAAGATGGAGTGATGGTACAAATAACTGGGTTTTAAATTAAAACAAGAGGCTTCACCTGCACTCTGTACTCTGCTTGACTGCCATTGCCAATACTGTTGTTGCTGTGCGTCTGTCGCTCGCTCTCTCTCTCTCTCTCTCTCTCTCTCTCTCTCTCTCTCTCTCTCTCTCTCTCTCTCTCTCTCTCTCTCTCTCTCCCCCCCTCCCTCACCCCAACTGGTCAAGACAGACGACCACCCACCTAGAGCCTGAGGATCTGTCCTAGGTTTCTGCCTTTTAACAGGCAGTTTTTCCTTGCCCTTGTCGCCAAGTGCTTGCTCATGGTGGTACTGTTGGGTCTCTGTAATTAATGTTAAAGAGTTCGGTCTAGACCTGCTCTATTTGAAAAGTGTCCTGAGATAACTTCTGTTATGAATTGGCGCTATACAAATAAAATTGAATTGTATGTGCTGACTCATACGTCAGGTTGTGTAGTTCCTCAATAACTCTTTCTTGGCTCCAGGTGAAAGTGGTGGTCAGGCTGGGAGGTTCGGACGTGACCAAGGAGACCGGTCAGAAGGAGGGGGCTTCAGAGGCAGAGGCCGTGGCAGCTATGAGCGTGGCGGTTATGACCGCAGTGGTGGATATGAGCGCGGTGGCTTCGACCGCGGCGGAAGAGGTGGACCTCCTGGTATGGGGTAAGTTGCATAGTGCCACTGCCCCCAAGGTACCTCCTATACACTGTGAATATGAGACATGACTTGTTGCCACACATCACTCATAAACTACAAACCATCCACATAGATGATTTTCACCACTCATCTGCTTTGTGCTCCAGATCCCCAAACGATGGTAATTTTTTATTTTTCCTTCAAAACTTGATTCTCAGTTTTTACAAGAGACATGCTGGTGTTAAATACACATTGCTGTTGCTATCAAATGATGGGCACTCACACACAAGTGGTGGTTAAGTAAAGGTTAGAGCTGCAATGTTTGACCCACTGAGGATCTACTTGTTATCGCTGGGGTCTCAAGTAAAGGAATGGAGACTGAACATGCCTGCTCAGATAGGAGCTTAAAAGGCATCAGAAACCTGGTTGTGCAACAGTATTATCCCAGACGCTGGGACAGGTTTTGTCCATTCTGCAACAGAACAGTCAACAATTTTTATGATGAACCAGGAATGGACATCTTGTGTCGTGTGTGTGTGTGTATATTTGAAGACTCAAGTGAAATATTACAGCTGGACCTAAACAGATGTTTCTGTAAGGAGAATAGGGCTGTTAAGATGACTTAAAAGGGTTTTCTTGCACACAAACCTGTGTTCTACACTAAGACGCATACTATGAGAAACCATCTTTTTCACCATTGTGAAAGGACTATTTTAAGTACCTTTTTTAGATGTCTTGGTTTTAAGAGGGATTCTAGTCAAGGTACCCATCTGATCACCTTTCTAAGGAGAGCAAAAAATATGCATTTGTATTCTCTGGAGACTGACTTTATGTATGATCTAAGAGTTCCACATGTTGGTCCATTAGGTCACATTTTGAAGCAAACTGGCACAACAGTGTTCAGTGTCTACTGTATATTGGTTAAACATTATACCCTAAACCAGTGAAATCCTTTTTTTTAATTCAGACGAGAGCTTTTCTGTTGCGTTTTCAGTTGACCTTGATGCCAACAGAGTGAGGATTTTTTGCTGTGCTTTCATATTATTTTAGTTTAGTTAAATATCCAGTAGACATACTTTTTTGATTGCCAGAAAGTCAATTTTGGTGTTTCTTGTGCTCTGAGGACCACATAATAGTTTTTGAACAATGGAAACTCCGCTGAAACGATGCCCTTAGACCTGGAGCCCACATCTTCAGCTGCTTCACATTCAACAGGTTTCATTCAAGTGTTGTATATTTGACAATGGCGAACATGTGTGTTGTGTTAACATGGATCTACATTTTATACTACAGGTGTTCAGAGTGATTGAACTAAAACTTGGACCTCAGTTAAAGGATCTCATAAACTCACTCAGTGGAAGATTGCTTATCAGTTTCTACACCCCTTCACACCAATTTGGCTTCTCATGTTTTAAAAAAAACAAAACGAACACGTTCAGCTGGTTTTCCAGCTCTTCGTATCCAATCTGGTCATGTAAAAAGGAAAAGTACCAAATTCTTTGTAAATGGTGACCCAGTGAGATGTAATGAATGTCTTCACTCGTCTGCCTGATTGTTCAGTCAGAGCTGCCTAGTCGTCTGTTCATTGATCTCTAATGTCAAAGACTAACGCATTCCTCGTGTGAGACATTTCCACCATAGTCGCACACCCTGGCAGGAGTGCATACTGATGGGGATGTAGGGGAGCTTTGAGCTCTCAGTTGGGACAAAGGAAAAGCCATCATATCTCCAATTTTTCCTCTGCAGAGGTGGTGACCGTGGTGGCTACAAAAATTACGGTGGTAAGTGACGAGCATCAGAACTGTGTCGGTGGGGGAGGAAAGAACTTGAGTTAGCAAAAAAGAAGAGAGGGGATTAAAAAATTAAAAAAACTCAGTGAATGCCACCATTATCATGTCCAGATCCGAAGGGACTCCACCAATTATTCTTAGCAGGGTTTTCACATAAATGACTTCAGATATGGTAAAGAACATGGAGCCTGAGTTGTAAAATTATGGTATTGTTGCATGAAGACGAGGGCTGATTGTAAATGACAGAGGTGTTCCCAGGACGAAGAAGGAAAACTTTCTAAAACTGGAGACATTTTGGTGGTTTTCATTTCTGGTGTAAGCTCAAAAAAAAACAGAACAATTCTGTTCTTGTTGCAAGGTGTTGGTATGTGGCGCAACGGTATGAAAACACCCATCAGAGAGCTGTAAACATGGACATTTGTTTAATTTTCTTTACCATTATTGCATTGATAGGGATGAAGTTAATAATTATTTGTGTGAAACAGTGTGGACAGTTTAAGTTTCCTTGCTCAAGCGTTCTCTTCCATCCTCTCCTCTGTTTTACAGGCTCTCGAGACTACGGCTCAAGGGATGAACCAGGTAAGGCGGTCTTTGATCTGTACACACCCCTTTGATCTGTACACACCCTGGCTATTTAATCGTGTGATCCTCAAGCTTTTATTCACATGTCTGTCCAGTCACTGTAATCTGATACCAGAACATCTCTGCCCCTCTAATGGCCAGTGCAGAAAAGTGCTTGATGGCGCATGCAAGTTGTAATGAGTTTTCGGTACCCTTCCTACCTAAGTTCTGTGTTGCATTAATTAATAGGGCTGTGGGTTTTTTGTTTAATTTGTTATATTTTAAAGTTATCACCCCCCAAATACAAAATCTCAATTGAATCAAGTGATTCATTAGTCAGTCTTTCAAGGTCGAGCGAGCTAAAGAGTGAATGAAGAAAGAGAGAAGCATGAACAAGAACAGAGCAGTGAATCAGAAATGCGTTTCTGTTGATGCGCCTGAGGCCACCCATCATCCTTTGTGCTCTGTGTGTGTGCTCAGCCCTGCCCTCTGTCAAACAACACACAGACCTGCAGCTCTTTATTCATCAATGAGAGCAGCGATAGCTGTTCCATTTATTGATCCCCCTTGGGAGAAATTCAAGTTTGTCTAGTTAACCTGTTTTAGAGACCAGCATTTGAATCTTTTTTTAACTATTTGGTACAACCTTATTAATTTCAATGTGTAAAATTTCAAGTTAAGCAGATATTACTTATGAATAATTGTTAATTGACATTAGTAATCAAAAGCAAAGTTGCCATGGTTTCCCATGTGGTTATTGGTTATACCCTACAGTTTACTCATTGTGTGACAATTAACTTTTATTTTTATGTCCTACATATATAATCATTGACATGTTCAACATTGATCTCCTTCACAGCTGGTGGTGAGCAGGACAACTCTGACAACAACACCATTTTTGTCCAGGGACTGGGAGAAGAGGCCACGGTCCAGGAAGTTGGTGACTTCTTCAAGCAAATTGGTATCATCAAGGTATTGAATTAGTTTGACAGATTGTCAATACATCAGCAAATCAATGACTCTCAAATGGACATTTTGTGAGTCATTATGTTCATGGTACTTTGCTGGACCAGACACATTTAGATATGATGGTGTTAACTTGTTCCTGTGAATACCTGTTCAGTAACTGACAATCCTTTGTTCATTTTGTGACGTTTAGGTAAACAAGAAGACCGGCCTGCTAATGATCAACATCTACTCTGATAAGGCCACCGGTCGACCAAAGGGAGAAGCTACAGTGTCATTTGATGACCCACCTTCTGCCAAAGCCGCCATTGATTGGTTCGATGGTAATATCTTTGCTGTATCTTCGATAGTCTCCAATCATACATTCATACTTGTAACATTCACTAACTGATATGTTGTCTTTTCATTTCAGGCAAAGAATTCAATGGCAAACCCATCAAAGTATCGTTTGCTACCCGCAGAGCTGAGTTCACACAGAGAGGAGGAGGAGGAGGAGGTGGTGGTGGCGCTAGTGGTGGAAGAGGGGGACGAGGAGGTGGGCATTGATTGAGCCACCCCAGGGCTTGAATAGAAAATATCTTATTTTAAAAATCCTTGTGTTAATGTTGATGCTCTTAAAGTTTTTGACGAATTGTTGGTCTTTAGGTTTCAGAGGTCGTGGTGGTGGTGGAGGTCCCAACTTTGACATTAAGGGAGGAGACTGGCCCTGTCCCAACAGGTTTGTTTACTTCATGTATTTTTTTCCTAAAACGTTTATATGCAGCAGAAGGGGCTCATTTTGCCCCTTTTGTGTTGATTTTTATGTATTAAATGCCCGTCTGATTTCTGTCTGCAGCTCTTGTGGCAATATGAATTTTGCACGACGGCAAGAGTGTAACAAGTGTGGTGCACCCAAACCAGGAGATGCAGGATTTGGAGGTGGAGGTGAGTTCTTCATCTTGATTTACCGACTAACTTGCAGGATTAAAGGACTAACTATTTAATTGAAGACTGTTTATTGTATCCTTGTTGTTTTTACTGACATAAATGTGACTGTTTGCAGATCGTGGAAGCAGAGGTGGTTATGGTGGTGACAGAGGTGGTGGCTTCAGGGGTCGCGGAGGTGGTTTCCGTGGTGGAGACCGTGGAGGCTATGGAGGAGGAGGAGGAGGTGGTGGCGGAGGATTCGGAGGGGGCTACAAAATGGGAGGAAGGTTGGTAAAAACTTTATTTTTTTGCGTAGTATACAAACCTCAGTAACCTGTATGATCTGTGGTTGCTGATGTAGTTTGATTATATTACCAGAAGAGGGCGTAGCCTCCCTGAGATTGGTCATCAAGTTCTGAAACTAACTAATGCTGTGTCCCAATTTCATACCACATACAAACTATATGCAGTATGTACTATACATTAATCTTTATAGTATATTGTTGTATACTCACAGGAAATAGAATACTTGAGCACTATTTTTATGGTATGAAACTCATTACCTTTTATGGGGTGTTTTTGATAATCCACTGTCATTCGTGTACATTGTGTATTGGTTTGTGAAGGAATAGTGTCCTCAGCAGCACATTCATATTTCTTTTTGTTCATGTTGACTGACTTAATTTTGCCACTTTCCTAGTATGAATACACCAATTTGGTTTAATTTATGGTCTTCAAACTGTAGTTCTCCCATTTTAAATCTCCACCTAATAAGAAGTCAACTTGAGTTTGTCTAGTGTCTAAATATTCATGCTGCACCCTCCTCTTGGTGATTAATGCCCCTTGAGGGTCTTGGGTTTTTGAATATGTTGATATATTGCTACTCACTGAAGGTGAAGTGCTCCATTAAAGGAAGGACGTCTCCTTTTTTTATTGAAAGCAAATTATATTAGCCCTCCACAGATTTAAAAGGTTGGGTGGATGAGGAACGGACAGCATATTTCACCCTCGTCTCAGTCATTCACATCACAACAGTTAACTCAATGACACAAGTGGACGTCTCTTTAAAAACACAGCCGGTAACTGAACAATGTCTCTTCCCCGCAGAGGTGACCGCAGAGACGACAGAAGAGACCGGCCATACTAAGAGTTGAGCAGATGGAAACCATTCCAGCCCTGGAGTTCGCCATGGAGGGAGGGTTTGGGTGGGGGGGGGACAGGGAGGGGCGTAGATCAGACATTCTGGTTTGTGTACCTTTTTGACGCCAGTGCATCCCAGCTATTACTGCTCATCTGAGTGAGGGAAGGATGTGTTGAGCGAACTGTTAATGGGACTTTGGGGCTGATGGCGCTGTTGGCATGTGGTCAAATGTTTGTTTTGGTTGTGTTTTTTTTTTTTTTTTTTTTTTTCTCCTGCATTTTTGTTTTATTTCTTTGTACATCCTTTTTAATTTTCCCTCAGATTCTAGCTGCAGATGTTTTGTGAGGTAGACTTCGTACCATTGTTTTGTATGAACGGAATAAAATGTTTTACTTGGGTTTTTCTTTTTCCAAAATGATATTAAAAACTGTGATCTTTTCTCTGTGCTTTGTGTGACTTCATCATTTTCGGTATTAAAGAGGATTTATCCAGCCAGACATTCAACAACTGCATCCTTTTTAAAGTGCATTAGTGTACAGTAGGTGCGGTGCAGGCGGGCGGAGGGGCGGTGCTGGCCCTCCCTCCCCCTTGTGCTCCTGCTGGGTGAGTAGGCTCCGTCACTCCTCGCAAGGATGGAGACTGTAGGCGAGCAGCAGCATGCTCTCACTCACTGACAGCGAGGGGAAACAACGATGAGAAAACTAATAGGAGCTGAACAGAAATGCGCCACGAAGGAAGCGGTGTGGTGGTAGTGTGGTCGTCCCACAATGAGCCGCCGACCTCCGGACCGGTGTGGAGTTGTGCGGGGTATGAGCGCAGCCTGGATCCTGGCTGTGAGCACCCTCATCACCGCTCAGACTGCCGGAGGATCACCGCTGGTCCTGGAGCCAGAGGTAGTCTAGTGTTTGTTTGATTATCCTCCTAAACAGCCCAAAAACATACTTTACATTGATTTATTGCCTTTATACTTAATAGCTGCTACTATTAATTAAACACAACCATATAAACATGTTATTGAACTGTTTGAGACCTCGGCACTTAAATGCTGTTGATGTTCAATGGCTTTAATATATTTAATTGGTTTAATTAATATGATTCAGATGTCTTATTGGCGTTTAACACCCCTCTTGGGTCTAATTAACCCCAAATATAAGCCAGGATACTGTAAGATAACGTACTGTACATTTCTGTGAAGGAAAAAAAAGTTCATGCATAGCCCATAAAACATTTCCTTATGTGCTCTAGTAACAGTGTTTGTGTTCTGTCACCTTCATCAAGTGTGGAGGTTCAGTTTGTGTCAAGGGGAAGGATTACCACTACAGTACTTTTACAGATATTTTGATTTAATACGGTCAGAAATAAAATTGTTTATTTTGCAGTTATTTTCATGTCTGTGCGTTCAGCAGGGATCTGTTAAACCCTAAATGGAAATAAAACAAAGAAGATTGGTTAAACTCTGAATTATGGTTTAGTTAAAGGAGGAATTTTCCTTAAGTCTGTGAAACTGTCTAAGCAAATGTAACAGAGTGTCTTATGAACTGCTACATGTTTAGTTTATTGTCTACAACAATGAATGTGAGCACTGAGTAACACATTTAAGACAACGTCAGCTCTATATAGTGACATACAAGGAAACCAAGTCCACTTTTATAAGCGAATACTACAATTGAATTGTGTCTCTGTGGTCTGGTCTGACAGCTGTCTCTGCCGGACGTCCACACACTGAACGTTCATCAAAGCTGTAGGATAATATAACATTAGACTTCCACAACTTTACTCTTACATAAAACAAAGCTTTCTGGCATGTTTCAAAGGGACAAAGAACATTTTTGTTGCACATTCCTGTTTGCTGAAGAACATCTGTCATCTCCTCAATTTTAATTTCCATCCCACCTTCAACCACATCTGTAATCATAGCTGCACCTCCTGTTGTCTGAACATGAAACCTGCTACATGCACACGAAGGGCTGTGATTGAGAGATGGTAATATTAAACCATCAACATGGCTAATCTCAAACCACAATGCAACAACATCTGTTGACACATACCCAGTTGGTTCATTTTTTACTGTATTTTACAGGCGTTAAATTTCACAACTATTCTCGGCATGAAATTCTTGAGAAATAATAGCTATGAATTTTCAGGGACACCCCAGGGGTTTCTCTCTCTTATGGGTGGTCTAGATCTATACATCCGCCATGGCAGCCTACAGCAGCTACAATACAAATGGAAAATTATCTTTCTACTTTTATGACTTTTTCCCTCCTGGGGAAGTATGCCTCTCTGGGGATTTACCATAATGCATTCTCATGAGATGCAAAGTGTGAGATTGTTGGTCTGTAAAATCATGACCCAAAAACTCTCTTTACTGTCTTTAAAAAGTAAGCACATCTTTACAGAAGGGCTCACGGTTTGGTTGATGTGTTTAGCTGGAGCACTAACAAGTATATATATAATAACAATTGCAGGTCTTTCTGGAAAAGTACGGCTACCTGCATCAGGACAACCACCTCCACAATGCAGCTGAGATGCAGTCAGCTATCTGGTAGGTGGTAACGCTCTTCTTCAAATATTAAAGATTATTCCTGCCGATAAGTGTGATAAGCTTCATCACAGAACCATGTTATCAATGTAGAAATCACAGCGGCTCATCAGATATCCTATATTTAATGTGATTTTACAACAGAGATGATGTGTGTGTCTCTACACTTTGACGATCAGAGTTAGCTGCTTGTGTTCATCAGGGGGAAGGGTGAGTTGGTGCGGCACAAGCCCAAGGGCTGAACGTCAGTGCAGGGCAGTAAAACACACCCTCACCTCTGCACTCTCCTGAACCCTCCCTGAACCATCCAGGAATTTCAAGAACCCCGCCCTCTGGACTGTATACAGTCTGTACTATAATGGAAACTGATTGAAGGTGTAAGATAGTTGTTCATCACATGGAGCGCAGATGAAAACCAATCTGGTACCTTTATTTTTTTTATTTTTTTATTTAACAAAGGACATTAATAAAACATTGAGGCTGTTTTCCATCTGTAGCTCCTGGACAGATGTTACAAAGTCACCCTAAAAACAGATCACACTGACGTTACTGTCAGCTGTCTCTGGTAAACAAATAAAGGGCATGTACACAGTGCAACAATGGAACAGGGTTTAGCCAATTCTCAAACATTAAAATAATAAATGGTTGACTGTGTTTTGAAAAAGCCAAATGTCTGTACAGCAAGACCATCATGCAAACCTTTCTTTCCTCCGCAGCGAGTTCCAGTGGCTGTCCCGACTTCCTGTCACAGGTGAGCTTGATGACGCCACCCTGAGGCAGATGTCAGAGCCCCGCTGTGGGGTGTCAGATGAGGGCAGCCAGCAGATCTGGACTCAGAGGGTAAACGCCATCTTCACTGGAAAGGGACGACCACAGCGCCGCAGGAGGCGCTCTACTGGGCAAGGTACTGTATATTGTGTGTACATTCTTGAGACATCGGAAGACCTTGCCTCTTTTAGGAAGCTGTGATATCATTCACTCCCTTGTAGGTGGAGGTTTTGTGTGTCCTGCTGTGGAGTGGTCACAAAGAGCCAACAGTTAACTGGGAGGGTCCACCTATGTAAACCAAAGCACTAAATAGATGTGAGGGGTGTAATTAAAGCTGGTGGAGTGCCTGATGTTGCACGCGTCAGCCTGGATGATTCCTGCTTTTAGCTGCAATTACACGAGTCCACATATCTTGTACGTCATCTTTACTGGGTGAAAACCTAAACTTCAGTTCTTTTTTATCTTTAGTTTAGCAGTTATAGGCTCCTTTGTGTAATTACCTCTAGAAATCTAGAAATCTATTATTCTAAGTTATGTCCCTACAAATGGAGCAGGTTTCCTTTAAAAAGTTAATGAGGCTCTTGTCAGAGGTTATCCTAATTTTCTGCTTTAAACACAGTAATAAAAGCATTCATTGGCGAGCAGATCGCTGCAATTTGAACTGGCTAAAGACTGCAGGATTTAAAGTATTTAAGAGTGCAGCTGAGCAGCCAAATTTCTTGCAGACTGCATGAAGTAATTGAGCACAAGGTCCTTCCCTCTTAGCTTAGGGTGCTTTACAGAAAATCCTTGAGAATTACCAAGAATTACCAAGAGGTGTAATTTCTCCACTCTCTTATAAACATGTGTGGGAGATACTGAGTGGAGCTGGGTCAGACTCTTTAAACTATAATGGATTCGTTTTTTTTTACCCTACAAGGGGCATTAGCCATTAAGATAACCCTCTCCACACTTGGGATTGATGAAGCCATATGACGCATATGGTCCTTTTGTCTCGTCTGTCTGTCTGTACATTAGCAGGATATCTAAAAACTTACTCAATAGATTAAATTATTATGTTCTTGTATGGATCTGGATCCATTCTCACCCTCTTACAGACTTACAGGCTGCATTCTTGTGTCTTTTGTGACTTATGTTTTCATCTATTTTGTTCTTACTCCCTCTCTTTGGTGCTGTCATTCCTCAATCTCCTTTGTGAATGAGCAGCAGCAGCCTGGTGCCTCCAGCCTCATGATGTGTGAAGCCTCTGCATTCCTTCCTGTCACTGACGAGGTTGGCTAACGTTCAGGGAATGCAGCAGTGGCTGATGTTTGCCGCTGCCTCTTCATGTCAGTACCTGACATGTTCCCTCCTGGTAAACACATCCACAACTGACTGACTGGATTACGTTGTTTGCCAGGCTGGCTGACTATATCAATGCCTAGATATCTTACTGGCTAAATGAGTGGATATCGTGCTGAGTGACGGATTACAGCCTGTTCTTGATTAAGAAAACATCTCTCTGTCATTATTCTAGTCCCAGACAGGACTCATATGACACAAAGGTGTATTATTACACAAAGAGCAGCATTAATGGCAGATACCTTTACACCCTCAGGTCAAACCTCTTATATATCCACTGATGTAGTTTATCAATGTAATAACTTCATTGTGAGTAGCAGTAGAATAGCGTGGCTGTGTAACCACCACCTTGTGCTTTAACATTAGTTTGCTTTCTCTAATCTCGCCTGGGACTGGAGTTTTATGTTTAGATAGAGCTAAGCTGCACTTTATTTCCTGTTGTTAGCATGCTAAAATGCTTAACTAGAATGTAGTATAGCTGTCACACATCAGCATGTTAACATTGTCATTGTACGCATGTTAGCATGCTGACGTCAGCATTAGCACTTTGCAGAGCCGCTAGCATGACTGCAGACTCCTCTTGTTTCTGGATATCAAACTCAGATGCTTCCCTGCAAGTCAAATTTAGTTTATTGGACTTTGTTCAATAGTAAGAATGAATGACCGAGTTTGAATTGAATCTTATTTTACACATGAAATTACATTGCGAAAGCTTATTACTGTAATTATTTTGCCATTTAAATGATTTTAGTTTACTAGAGGTAAAACTAAAATACCCGATAATTCATCACAAATATCAATAACAGCTTCAACTTCAACTTAATGCTTTACTCTTTGAGTTTTCCTTGACAGCCGACGCTGGCTGTTAAACTCCTTCAGGCCACAGCAGCATGTGGATGAGTCAGTCTGTTTATTCGCTCTCAGCTGTGGTGTGATGTGGATTTGTTTTGTGTGAACATGGTTGCCTCAGAGCTTCCTGGAAACTGAAAACAGACCTTGACTCGTGGTTGAATGTGATGTTCGTTCCCACTGATATTTACAGAGCTGACATTCCACCACCCATGTCCAAGATAAGTACTGTAAGTGTGATAGGTGTGTGTGTGTGTGTGTGTGTGTGTGTGTGTGTGTGTGTGTGTGTGTGTGTGTGTGTGTTTTTCAGAGGTGTGCACTTATGGATCTGTGCCCTGCCCTGGAAACTGTTAACCACTTTAATGCCATTTTACAAACATATCACAGAACCAAACCAACTCTAATTTGACACTATTTCAGCAGAATGCACAAGTCGGAGATCGGGACTTTGCTCATTAGAGCTGCAACAAATGCCTGATTAGTCGATTGGATGTTTGGCAGAAAATGAACTGGCAAATATTTTGATAATTTTTTTTTTAAAACCTGAAGCTTAAGCCCGTAGTTCCAGATTCTCAAATGTGATGATTGGCTGCCTTTCTCTGTTTCATATGATTTTAAACTGGCTGTAGGAATGGCAATGTCAGACGGTCGGTTCAGCACTTTGGTCCAGACATGAAATATGTCAATAACTACTTGATGGATACAGACATTCATGGTCCTCAGAGGATGAATCTTTACATTCAATCGTTAGCATGCTAAAACGCTAACCTTGTGAACCTGGTAAACATAAGCAGGTTTTGTCACTGTGAGCCTGTTAGCATGCTGAGCTTAGCATTTAGCTGCGTCAAACATCCTATAAGTTGACACCAGTAACAAACCAAATCTCTCTGCACCTCCACAAACAATAACTTTGGCTATCAGATGATCTCAGCCACTTCCTAATGTCTGTGATAACCCACCCGCCCCACACTGCTGCTATAGAGGGCATCATGGTAATTGCTTCCATAAGGGAAGTCGGGGAATGTCTTGTGTATCTGACTTCCTGGCTTCTCTGCCGTCCTCGGGGACCTCTTACTCTGCGGCGGTCTGGGACGGAGCCTGAGCTGTGCTGAAAATACAGATCTACACACATCATGTGGCAACAAGCCTGTTGCATATAGATCATCTGGGAGTGAAAAATGAAGCAGGTTTGGGAAAACAAGGTAGTTTGTTGAAGTGACTGACTCCAGTCAGAACTTGACCAGATATCAAATTGTGTATAAAAAGCAGGTTGTAATGGCAGTGACTCCTGAGGTTGAACCTTACCTTCTTGTATTGTTTTGTCTTTCTTTAGTATTAATGTAAATCAGTGTGATGACTGGTACTCACTCGTATACAGTTGTAGTGTTTTAGACTCTGGTGCTTCCAATCTAATATTTCTGTGAATCGTTGCAATAAAAATGCTAAGGATCAAGTTTACACAACTCTCAAGTTTACGCTGAAATTCGTGTTGAGTTGCTGCTGGAGCACAAATTCTGTTTGTGTGTTTACACAAACACAAACGCACGCTGATGTCATTGCCAAACCCATGTCTTAATGGCTCCAGATATCCAGATATCCAGATATTCGCTTTTCTCCAGGGTGCTATTGAGCTAATTCACAGTATGTAGTGCATACCTCTCATTTATCGCTCTCATCTTTCACACAACTCTGTGCTGTGTGTTATTTAACCCGAGCACAAATGGCATCAAAATAACTCAAAGGTCGACGTTCTCCAACCCGACTGCCTCCTCCCTGTATGATTGAGCAGAAACATGTACTGCAGGCGTTAGTGAAGACCTCCCACTCTTATTTGGCCTCTACATCGAGCCAAACATTGGGCCACATTTCTAAATATTTTGACAACTGTAAGTGTGCTTGAGTTATTTTGCCACTTTCTAGTCAAGCGTGAAATGTGAAAGTATGTCGAAATTTTAAAAGCAAGTCGTCTAAAGTGCGTTACTCAGTGAGTTTGATTCTCACCCACTCTCACCCTCCAAAGCCCTCTTAACAATACAAGCACAAATACTCAGAGTTACTACAACTGCAGTTGTTGCGGTTCTGTGGTTGTTTAACTTTTTGTCTGTGTCGGAAGGGCTCTAAAGCTGAAGACTGCAATATGAATAATATGTGAAGTACTGGGAAATTGACTGTATATAAAAATGTCATTGAAAGAGTCTGTTCCTGGGGCGCCGTGGTAGCTCACCTGGTAGAGCTGGTGCCAAGTGTACCAAGGCTGCAGCAGCCGTGGATTCGAGTCCAAACCTGTGGCACTTTGCTGCGTGTCATCCCCTCTCTCTCCTCCCTTTCCTGTCTATCTTGAGCTGTTCTGTCAATAAAGGCAAATATCTTTCTTTCCGTACAAGAAAGAAATAAAGAAAAAATAAAGATAAAGGTCAGTTTATCTGTACAGTTTTTAATCAAGGGTTGCAGTCCAATTGTCCTTTGTTGGAAGGTTTTCCTGCAACCATCTACATGGAAATTGTTTATTTATTATTTCAAATCAAATTATTTTAAAGTGATATTCATATATATTCCATATATAATATTTTTACAGATCAGCCTTGAGTCAAGAAATGTTAGATTTTTGCAGAGGTGATTCATATGATTATTAAAACAATTAATTCATTAATTAAAAATGATCTTTGTGTTTAAAATGTACCAACTCTTTCATCGGTTCTTGGACTTGACCAGTCAAAGTGAGGGTCCAGCCTCTCCAGCTGCCTCCCCCCCTGAAGGTTCATATTATCTAATGACTGTTTCCTGCTAGGCAGCCTCTCTGTCTGCTGTGTGAATGTGTGCTGCATGGTTGGTTGTCTGTGTTTGCTGTTATGTTTGCTTTGTCTCCAGATTGCTACATTGGGCAATCCCATGTATATATTGAAGAGATTAGCATTTTGTAAATTAAAGAATGGCTGAATTTAACTCCCCCCTTCATGCTGTCCCAGAACAAATGTGAGATTGCGACACATGTGATTATGTCTAAGCTGAAAAACCACCGACACGCGTTGAGGTAAATTGTTTAGTCAAGCGTGTGCTCAGAGTGCTTGTTAGTTTACCCAGCTGTGAGCTAACATGGTTAACATCCTATCATTTGGCTCTGAATGGATGCGGGGGGGGGCTATACTTCAAAACATCATGGCTGAACGTGGGATATCTGGCATCCGAATTTATACTACAGATGGAAATACATAGCTGCTCCAGTAGGAAATAATACTATAGAGTGTTTGTTAAACCTTTTTCAAAATAGCAGTATTAAACCACATAGAGGCATGGTCACATGTTCTCAGTAACAGGAATAATTCACTCCTACTAAAGGCATTTTTTAAAAAATGGGTCACGAATAAATACTTAATACTTTTTAAAAAGCTAAATAACTTCCTGAATCAGCTGGGCATCGTACTGTAGTTTTTAGCATCACTCAAACGTGTAAATTCTGCATTTATTGGGGCCTATTTATTTGGTGTGTTAGTGAGCAGCAGCAGGACAGTGTCTTTAGGGTTGACTCAAAATAAACTGGAGTGCCCACATTCATGGTAATTAAGAAACATGTCACTCAGTGCAGTACTTATTTATGTTTTTTTTTTATTATTTTAGACAACAGTGGAGCTCTATAAGCTTTATCAGGCTTTGGCTACACAGTCAGTAGTATTAATAGTACACTTGTTAGAATCAGTTCATTGTTGGGTTTGGTCTTTTCATGGGATAGCAGAACACACGGTTGTAGTTTGAGTCTGGTGTTTGCTCAGTGATATTGAAGACAGGTGTACATTGGTAGGGCCTCTAATCAGTGATTGACTGAGGGTGGTTGTTACATTAAAGCTGATTCAGTCACTGCTGTTGCCATAGATACACTTTGATTGTCAGCAATAACAAATTAATCTGAAACTCGTGTTTTCTTTGTTATCCTGTGTTGTTTGAAAGCTTTATATCAGTGTAGCTCACATTGTGCTAACCTGAGCAGATGGTACGTTCCAGTTGAGGAATTTGTTGTTTTTGAACTTCCCAGTCTTTCCATTTCATCTGTGTTTTATCAGCTTTTTTTGCATGAACTGTTTTCCAAACTACTAGTTGAAATATTCTTCCTCACAGGAACACTGCCAGCGTTTTTCTTTGGGTTGTCTGGTGATTTGAGCTTATCTGTTGTTGCACTGGCTGTAGGTTTGTGATGACTAAGATTGTGAGCTTCATACCTGCCTGTCTCATATCTCTGTTCCTCTCTCTCTTTCTCCCCGTGGGTGTTCTCCAGCTGAGAAGTGGTACAAACGCCATCTGACCTACCAGATAGTGAATTGGCCTCACCACCTGTCTCCGGGCTCCGTGCGGCTGGCAGTGCGCGCTGCCTTCCAGCTGTGGAGCAACGTGTCAGGCCTTGTGTTCCAGGAGGCCCCTGACGGTCCCGCAGACATCCGACTGGCCTTTTATGAGGGAGACCACAACGACGGCGCCAGCAATGCCTTCGATGGGCCAGGTCAGGGACAACCACGCACTGATTCAAGTCATCACTGTTCTGTTGAAATGTTTTCATAGTTTTAATTTGTGTGAGTGTGTGGTGATTGTTTTGTGTTACGATCTTGCGGATGTAATCTGTTCTCAGGTCTTGATCCTAATATCCTGAATGAAGAAAGTTTAGCAAGTCCCACCCTTTATGTGTACACAGTAACAGGATTACTGTGGATAAAGTTCACATTTCTTTTATTACCACATGGCTAGGCTGGTGGAAATAATCTCAGTACTGATGGAATGGCTGTAACAGTACAACATATATAACATCAATGCAAACATAAAGGACAAAATGCAAAATAGATACAGCTTCAACTGTATTCCTTTAGGGCATTTTGTCCCTCCCAGTGATCTGTACCGTCCGCCAGAGGGGGGGTGACGCTGACAAAGGTGATGAACTGGGTGGAGGGGTTCATCCGTGATCTTGATTGCTCGTGAGATGGTGTGTTGTGTGTGTATATGAGGTCCAGAAGGGGGAGTTGGCAGCCTATGATCTTTGATGATCTGGTGATAATTCTGTCCATTTTCTTTATGTGTGTGTCTCCATACCGGACAGAAATCGGTATGCTCTGGATTATGGCTGTGTAAGTTGTCTCGGGAAGAGGAAGAGTCTCTGTTGGGCTTTTTGTATTTGATAATTGGCGTTGAGGTCCCATTTAAGTTACATTGCACCAGTTTCAGTTACATGAAAAAATAATTTAATAGAAGATTAAATTAAGCCAAAATAGAATATAGCAATACATAACACAGTACTAGAGGTACAAATATATAGTATTTTGTAAAGAAAAGCAAGGATGACAGACTTAATAATAATAATAATTAAACAGGTAGAAGTGTTTTCTTATTTCTTACTTCCAGTCTTTGTTACACTAGTAATAATCTTGCAACCTCTTGTGAGCGTCCTGATCCCCAAGTTGGTGGAGGCAAACCTGTATCATGGTTTAGTGTGTGTTACACAAATAATTCCAGCAAGTCAATTGATTTCACAGAAATCTGACAGTAGACTATAAAATAAGGAATAGAAATACTAAATAAACTGAGCAATTACATTTGCTTTGTCTATAGATGTTTAACCCTAGCTACCCTAAACATAACCAAACCTTTATTTGTGAAAATTGTAGCTGTTGAATCTCATCTAATAAGCTGTTGTAATGTTACAAATAATCTATAAACTGTATGTAGGAGGACTATCCACATAAAGTGGAACCGTACAGGTTGCTGATAATACCTTTCTGAATGTTGTAGTGGAGTAGGTCTACTTTTACATTGCTGTATTGGCACTTTTACTGAAGTAAAATATCTTAACACTTCCTCCTCCCCTGGTTGTTGAACTAAAAGTTTCTCTAGTACTGTACGACACTCACAACTGTTTCCCTCCTCTTTGAAACTTCAGGAGGAACTCTGGCTCACGCCTTCCTGCCTCGCCGGGGGGAGGCCCACTTCGACAGGGCGGAGAGATGGACACTAAACGGACACAAGGGACACAACCTGTTCATGGTGACCGCCCACGAGATCGGACACACTCTGGGACTGGAGCACTCCCCCGTCCGTCACGCCCTGATGTCGCCGTACTACAGGAAGTTGGGCCGCAGCCTGGTGCTGAGCTGGGACGACATCATCGCAGTGCAGCAGCTGTACGGTGAGATGATGGCAGGTCTTATTTTTGGATTTATTGTCTCTCATCCAGATTCAAACATTTCCAAGACACCAAATGAAGCTTAACAGCTATTGGAAGGCAATGTTTTCTTTGTGGTCCAAAGGTCAGTAAGAGTGTTAAACGTAGCACCTTCACTTCACGCACATGCAAGATATTTTTACCACTTTTTCCCTCAGGTTTAAAGTCTGAAAGGTTGAGAAAAAAGCACTTTAGTGGACAGATGACAAATGTCTCACTGTCTGGCCTCAGGACGGCTAAGTTAAAGATGGTGAAATGAGGTTGCCGTTTAAAATGAACTATTATTGGAATGCATAGAACCGATTACATAAATTACTGACTTGTTATGAAAACAGAAGAAACACAGAAGTTTTTGCTCTGTTACCCATTAAATCGGGAGTCATGGCACTAAGCTGTGAAAAGGCCAGAGAGGCAGCCCTGAAGGCCACCAGCTGCAAACACAGAATGAGAATGAATAGAAACAGCAAAGCCTGTTGAGAGTTCCCACAGCTCATTAAAACATTGCATTGGATTCAGAAAGCTGTCTTCTGGCTGTTCGTCTTTGCTCATTTAATTGTTCAAAGTTCTTATGACACAAAGCTCACCGCTATGAACGTGATCCTCTCTGTTGTCTTTATCAGCACGAGGAAGTCTGTTCTATCAGATTCACTTCTGTGGCCTCTCAGCTGCCGGGAGAAGTAGGTTTAAACCGAGGGCAGCAGAGGTGGTGTGAACGTCAAAATAACACACTGAATCGCTTCCTCACTGGCAGCAAGGTTGGGTTTCACTGCACACTCAGTGGCCTGTTTGTGTATTATTAGTTTCCTCGGTGCTACACAGTGTTTACCCGGGAGTTTAGCCGGCTCTGTTGTGATAGATTACTGGTGCTGTTGCAGAGGGTGCGAGCATTACATACGTCTTTGTGTATGACAAATAAAATAGTTTCTGTTTACTGCCAGTGTGTTGTCCCTCCTGGCATGTGTATAAGGCAGGTTTCCACATGTGCAGAGTTCTCTTATTGCTTGTTTTCTGCTGCTGCGATACTGATTTCACTGCAGCAGTTGCACAAGAACAGGTTCCTAACTTGTCTGCACCAAAAGTGGCTTCTGCAACTGCTCCTCTGTGATGATGTGGTGCTCCAAGATGCATGAGTCCTCTCCCTGCTTTGACCCTGAAACGAGCTGTAAAACAGTTGCATGTAAAGACACAACATTCTGCAGGAATGTTTGCATGGCTGCAGGACAGTCTCACAATCGTTCGGATAATTCCACTCTGAACTTGAGATTCAGCTCAACAGCAGCTCGCCGGCGGGCCATGTCCATACAGTATCTCTCCTTTTTTTTTTTAGGTATTTTTGGGCTTTATTGCCTTATTATAGTAACAGCGAAGATAGACGGGGGGCAAAAAAGAGGTGGATGACACGCAGCAAGGGGCTGCAGGTCAGATTCGAACCCTGGGCCGCTGCAGCAAGGACACAGCCTCAGTACATGGGTCGCCAGCTCTACCCACTGAGCTATCCAGGCGCCCGTATCTCTCCTTTTCTGTTCAATATCTGAGGAGTCCCATCTGCTCTGCCTCTGGAGGTATTCTGGCCTCTGCTTCCTAAAATGGTATTTGCCAGCCTTTTCTCCTCAGGGCCTCCCTTATTCACTCTGCATTTATAAAAAGAAACTGACCACCCTGCAGCCTCAGCCAAGCCACCGCTCAGTCACATTTTCGGCTCAGTTACACTCAAAAACCACAGCGCTTAATGCCACTTTGATTTATTGTGTGACCATAGATAATAACATTGAATTAATTGCAGCAATTAGAAGAGATGATTAGTGTTTAGTGGGTCATTGAGCTGGATGTGGAGTGTTTGCTTATGCCTGTTAAAGAAAGAATCCAAGACAGCTCTCTGGTAACTTTTTTTTATAACATAAAGTTATCCAGGATTCTTTAGTTGGCGCTCAGGTGGAGTTCTTCACGTCTGCTTATCTACCTGATTTCCACCCTGTGGCAGTAATTTCTGTAGTCTGCAGCTGCTCCCACGTAAATGTCAAGCAGCTCCAGAGACAGACATGGACAAGAACCGCAGCTGACAGGACTGCTGGCACTGTGAAAACGCTACATCTGTTTAAAGACATGAGCTTTAGGCTGTGTGTGTGTGTGTGTGTGTGTGTGTGTGTGTGTGTGTGTGTGTGTGTGTGTGTGTGTGTGTGTGTGTGTGTGTGTGAGAAAGAGAGAGAATCATTTCTGGTGTTGGAATTGGTGAACTGATAGGAAGCAGATGTGAGGCAGCCTGAGCACGTCAGTCTCCTGAGCTCCGGACTACCTCTGATTACTCTGTGACCAGAAACATGAAAACCCTTGAAGCATTTTATATCATAGAAGACGTTTGTGGTGATTCTGGCCTATAAGACAATGTATGTACAGTATGTATGATGAACAGCAGTGATGGTTCTAACTATAGATGTCTAGTAAATGTTATGGGAGTCAAAAGTACATTTCCCACTGAAATGTTGTTGATTTGAAGATTAAAGTAAAATGGAAATACTCAAGTAAAGTACAAGTACCTTACAAATTAAAGGTCCAGTGTGTAACATTTATGAGGATCTATTGTCAGAAATGCAATATAATATTCATAGGTATGTTTACTATAGTGTATATTTGCCTGAATATAGGAATCGTTGTTTTTGTTACTTAAGAATGAGCCATTTTTATCAGGCCCCCCGGGTCACCTTCTATGGAGTCTGCCATGTTTCTACAGTAGCCCATAACAAACCAAACACCGGCTCTAGATAGGGCCTTTTGTGTTTTTTGCAGCCATCTTAATTTTTTACTATTCACTTCACAGCACGTTCTCATTCCCAGGTTGTCAAATACTGACGCGAGCAGTGTTCAGTTAGTTGCAATCTGCAACTTCATTGCCAGATGCCACCAAATCCGACACACTGGTCCTTTAAGTGAAGTAAAGACAACGCACAGGAATGTTACGTAACTAAACTAAACTAAATTATATTATACAGTAGATTGTATATTATTACAGGTGACTAAAAGCTCATAATTGGCCTTTTAGCTAGACGTTCCCAGTACACTCTCTGTGCAGATTGTATTGTTGAGTTGTAGTATCCTGTAGTTCTTGCACAATAAACACATGTGGAATCCCCTGTGTATGAATGTCAGCAGAATGTAACTATTATTCACTGCTCAATACTATGCTTGAATTAGTTTTTTCATTGTACGCTTCTTTATACTTTACACACAAATTGTACTTAATACTACAATTAATTTATCCCACAGCTGCAGTTATAAGTAATTTTACAGATTCTGTTTTTAGCTACAAAACAAGTTTTATAACAAAGTTGTTCAGATTAGCTCCATCTCGATCAACTGTAACATACTGTTAAGTAAAAGATCTGAATACTTTTCCCTCCACTGATGAATGTAAACAGAGTGAAGTCAGACATCCAGCCCTTATCTTATACACACACATACACTACACAGCTTTAATGGGCAGCTGTCCATGTGTTATCCACTGTGGTGTGTGTGTATCTATTTTGCCTGCTGTCTTCCTCCTGTTCATGGGTGCGCTGATTTTAGCCACCTCCTACACAAATGTTTGTTCAGCTCCTTGCAAACAAAACAGCAGTAATCATGTCTAAAGCACCATCATTTACTCTTTATGCTTTGGTATGTTGAGCTTGTCCCTTTGTTCAGCTTTAATTCCTCCTTTTATTCTTTTGATCTCATTTGCCATGAATCTGCACTCGATTGGCTTGGCTCTTTTTTTGTGTGATATAAATGCATTAAAAGTTGCAGTGTGCGCTCTATCTGGAGACCTTTGTTTATTTCCTGTGCAGTATAATGTCATCCATCAGTATACATCAACCCAGCCACATCCTGTAAAGGATAATTTAAATGTTAACATAACCCAGTCCTGTTTTAGGAGAAGCCTCCACTGTTTGTCTTTCCATTTGTTCCCATGCTGTCCAATTTAGAAAATACATAAATTGCTTTTGGCATGCACGAGACATCAGACTGCTCTGTGCTCAGTAACACACTGTCCTCACAGCTTTGTTATTTAGAACCTACAGTGACCAATCACCTCTATGTAACCACAGTATTCATCCTACAACCTACACAAACTGATTATGACAGTGATTAGAATCGTCTTTTATTACCTTGTCTGCTGCCTTTTAGTTCATTGTTTTGTTATTTTGTTTTTGCCCTCAGGTAAGCCATCAGGTGATCGCCCTGTGAGGCTGCCAGGCCAGGTTTTACACGCAGCGCTGCAGGAGTGGGAGTTCACTGAGCTTCGCAATGGGCATCAGACCACAGGGCAGCCTCTCTACTGCCAGGGTGTCTTTGATGCCATCACTATAGGTGAGGTCCAAGTGAAGCTTTATTAGAGTAACGTTCAGCCACTGGTTGCTGGCGGGCTTCAGAAAGCCTGAGAAATAAGGAGAAGAGAATCCTACTGTCGTGTTTATCGTGTTTTATAAAACTGGTGGACTAAACTATATTAAAATTAAAAATAAAGCTCTCATCCATTTTCTGCCCCACGTTATTTTGCACTCTGTGTTCACTCAGGTTTTTCGACATGCTAACTGAGCACACTCTTACCATAGATGAAGGCTGCCGAAATACTTGAAAGCTCTGTAAAAAAAACCTACTAAGATTGAGTTTAGACTATTTTGTCAAACTATTTCTGAAGTCAGCCATGAACTTCCTTTAATGTGGCACATATATATTTGTGTTTGTGTCTATCCAGACCAGAATGGGACGGTGCTGGTGTTTCGGGGCAGTGTGTACTGGACAGTAGCTTCTGAAGGTGGTGTGAGCGGCCCGCTGCCTCTCCTTCAGCGCTGGTCTGACCTCCCTCCGGCCATCGAAGCTGCAGCCTTCTCCCCACTAGACTCCAAGTGGTATTTCTTCAAAGGTACCGCTTCACTGAACTCATTAATGTGACTCACACTTCCTTTTAAAGACATTCCCTAACCTATTGCCTAACTTCACGTATTTGTTAAAGCAACCAAAATAGATTCTATTGTGCCTATTTAAAGACTTGTACTGCACTGGAGACTCGGCTGTAGTTTTAAAATAGCTTCACCTTTGTGCTAAAGGCTAATAACTTGAAGTTATTGCCAAGTTTAACTTTACTGCTAAGGACCAAAGACCTGACAGTGTTACCTAGATTCTAATGAGCTGCTAAATGCAAAACAGGGTTATGCAAAATGCAGAAGCTCTGGCATTATTTGTACTCTATACATCATCTCAGTATTGAACTAAAGCAGTCACTGTCTACACTTTGCTCATGTCATTTTTTTCCCTAAACCCCAAAATAGTCACTCTCTGGATAAGATGGAAATATAAAAGTCCTCAGGCTACTGTCTTTCACAGGAGGTTACACTTTAAGAGCAGAGCTCATTGCATTTCTGTATTCTGATATAAAGTATTTGAATCTTTTAAAGAACACGTGGCCAAGTGTGTTTGACGTCAAAGTTATGATGATCTGTGAAATGTTAAATACAGCATGATGAAATATAATTATGATGGGGTTTTGTAAATGACTCCTTAAAACAAATAATGATTGAAGTTCAAAATGTTTCCTTGTTGAGTGTACAATTTCCTCCTCATCTCGTGGTGTGCAGGGAAGCGGATGTGGCGCTACACCGGCAGTGTCCTGGACCCCGGCTTCCCCAGACAGAGCAGTGACCTGGGGCTGCCTCGCCACCCTGACTGTGCCTTCTATTATGCCCCTCTGGGTCACATGGTCATCTTCAAGGGCTCCCGCTACTCTGTGCTTAACCTCAAAACCCTGCACCAAGAGCCCTATTACCCCCGCAGGCTGACAGACTGGACTGGTGTGCCACAGGGGACCAATGGGGCGCTGACACGCCCCGACGGACGCCTCTACCTGTTCAGAGAACAGCGTTTCTGGAGATTTGACCCAATTAAGGTGCGAGTCACGAGAGAGGGCCAGTGGGTCAAGGATCTGAGCTGGACTGGTTGCAGCAATGGTCCTCAGAACAACAACATCCTTTGACCAGCAGAGGGCGCTGTAAGCTTTAGATAAGTGCAATGTGTTGACGTATACTGTAATATAAAGGTGCTATAACGTTTTCAGCCTGAACCCACATCAAGTTTATATGTTGCAAAATGAGCCTAGCTCAGCAAACTGATGCCATGAAGGGATTCAACAAAATAAACCCAGTTGGTTTATACGTTTTTAAAACACATACAGTATTTATACTGCAGAGCAATGGATATTAGTTTATATGGATGTGCTGTTATAGCCTCGTTAATACAGATAATGGTAGGACTGTGAGCAGACAAAAAATGTTTTTTTTTTTATGCTTAATCTATGTTTCTTTTCTCTTATAGTATTTGCAAAACGAGAGAAACTATTTTGTTTTTATAATTTCTTCACCAGTGTCACTAACATATGTAACATATTGTATAAATAACTGTTACTAACATTGTCCTGTTATTGTGTGCTCCCTCGTAAGTGCTGCAATAGTAGAAGGCCTAAATCATCATTACTAAGTGTAGGCCTGTTTGGACAATATGAGTACATTATAATGTGTAGGTAAGTTGGGTGAGTTGTGAATCACGAAGGCTGTTATCACAAAGCTGACAGCTGTGTCGACAGTGTAATGCATTTCAGGAAACGGTTGCAGAGGGACAATCATTTGGGGAAACTTCCAGCTTCACTTCTTCCCTTTTCATCCAACAGCGTGTTTTCTTTTGCATCACTGCAGGCAGAGCAGTCGTCTGTCAGTGAATATGTAGATCATTGATTTCTCAGCTCACTGTACAGAAGCTAATTTATTTTGACAGTGCCATTACATAGTTATTGAACTGAAACTTTTAGTCATGTGGAAACATCTCTGTCAGGACACTCAGTTGGATTTCATGAACAGACCCCAACAGAAAGCATTTTCATTCATTTAGGTTTTAATACTAAAGCCTTAAGACATTTCATCACTGAACATGATCGACACTAAGGAGCCTCATGGGTGACACACTCACTCTCATGCTTGCTTTTTTTCCAGTCAAAAGTTAAACACATTCACACCTCCGAGCTGCTCTGCAGGACAGCGTGGGTGCAACGGTATCCTGTTGAGCAGTGAGCAGTCCAACAGGAGTAGCTCATATCATATATCCTTAAATTGTATGCCTCCGATTAAGCACTGGCCATAATGCACATGTAACACAAGGGAATACTAGACACAGGTTTATCTGTTCAATTTGGATGGACTAAAAGTTTTAGTCAACAAAACGAAGTAAAGTAATCAGTGTTGTAGAAGAGAGTGGTATGACCTGAGTCATAAGTGTGGTCATTAAAATGCATAGTATTTTCCTTTCCTTACATAATACAATATTATCTTTTATCAGACTTGTCTCGAAACAGCTATGAACACCAGTGATAATGGGCACTGTGCAAAGATCGTTGTGGGTTTGACTACCACCATCTGTTGGACCAGTCTAATACTGATGATGTATTGGCTAAGTTTTCACTTAATCTGTCTGTTGATCCCTCAGCTTACTGTGGCCTTACAGTAATTAACATTTCTGAAGTCTTAGGCCCCTGACACATTTGGGCTATTTCAGACACCTTACATACAAATGGTTAGATTAATATTAAGATGTATATTATACATGATTAGAGATTTTTGTAAATTCCAAATGTTCTTTTAAGTCTTTACTCTAGGCTATATAAAGATGAAAATACAATCTTCTTCAATACCGTAATCTGACTAGGTCTAGTCCACCACTTGTACATTGTAACACACACATATACTAGAGCAAGGATCAGCTGAAGTGCATTTTAACAAATGTGATTAGAAGCCACTGGGCTATACTTTTACTATGTAAAGCCAGAGCTGTAACAGACTGACGGTGCTGCAGTGTGACAGAGCTCAGACTAAATCAGATTTCTAATCAAGAGCAACAGCGACATCAAAGAGTGACTTCACGCTGAGCTCATCTTCACCTGTTTCAAAGGCCATCGAAAAATAAGACATTGCTGGCGCTGAGTGGTTGTACAGAAACCTAGACTGGCACTCGTAACCCGACAGTAACACCTAATACAGAGACATGTTTTGCTATTCACATGGCTACATTTTAGCACATTGGCTGCACAAATCATTAGTTGTATCTAAATATAAAAGTAATTAACACATTCAACAATATTATTATTATTATTATTATTACCTGGACTGTCAAATATCACTCACCTTGTTCCACTTCTCTTAGTCGGTCTGTTAGAGCAGGAGTTGGATAATTACTGTATATTTTGGACATTTTAGGACAAATCAACCCACTTACAGTCTTAAGACACTTCTGAGTGAAAAGTGTCACCTGAAGCTGAACTTTGGTTTTCAGAGAACTGCTCTTTTATCAGACTACACAGTCCTGCATGACTTCAGATCCTCTTTAAAGGGTTTCTCATCTTGTCCAACTTTTCTATGTTTTCAATTATACTGTGATTATTACCGCAGCATGTAGCGTAGTGGCAGGAATTTAGATGAAGAACTCATCGACTGGCTCCTTTTTGTTTGTGTGTGCTGACAGCAGCTCAGCAGTAGTCCTGTTCTCCACCACGGGCCCTTTCAAGGGGCTTTGTCCTGCCGCCACAGTCCTGATGCCACAGCCATTCCTGGCTGCGTCTGTACAACCAGTGGAGGCCCATGTTCTGGAGGGGCCATGAGGGTGTATGTGTGTCCGTGGCAGACATTCAATCAGCTCCTTGGCCAGACCCTCACCAGCTGAAGCCCCAACAGCTGCAGGTCTCTCAGAATGGAAACTCATCAAAAGGTCCATGGACGAAGAGCGAGCAATTGTTTTGACTGCTGTGTCAGGGTGAAGTGAGACTGGGACTCCTGTGTCTACATTGGTCTCTGGCTCCGCCTCGTCCTCTTCCAGAAGGAGATGGGAGAGCGAACGGGTGATGGAGGGGCGCAGAGGAGAGTCAGGGTGATTGGTGGTTGAGAGCGGTGCAGGGCTGCTGCGCTGAGATGAGTAACAGGAGCTGCCTGGAGGGGTGCTGCAGCAGCTTCCTGATCCCAGGCTCTCCACTCCACCACCTCCTCCATGAAGCTTATCCAGGACAGGGTCACTGCGCGGTCTGTGGCCTATCGACAACCAAAGACACATCAGGCAGAGTCACAAAAGTGGGCCTTTGCTATTGTACTACACTCGTATGTCACTGAACTTGAACCAGTTCTTTGTATAAGAAAAGGTTTTCATAACCTCGGGGTCAGATGATTTGCAGATGGCTTTGCAGGATCAGACTGATATTTTGATAATTTCTTGATGTGTTTTCAATCAAAAAAAGTGATTAGTTGTCAGATATTTTGATTTTGATTTTTTATGACTGTTTCGAGTAATAGAAAGTTGACAGCTCACTAACAGCTGGAGTCTAATGTAACCTAAAAAAAAGCTCTTGGGCCAGAGAACTTTGATTAAACACTACTATCAAAGTCTGATCCACATCAGCAAACTGCATAATGCTGCTGAATGGCTAACTGAAACAACTGTTACTCATCTCAAATATTAAAGGTTACCTGTGGAGTTTCCTTTTAAACAAACAAAACTTCAGTTTACATTCAGTGTTATTCACCAAAACCCATTGTATGTATCTCTGAGCGGTGTATCTAACAAATGTCTCCTTCCAGATAAAATGATTTTTAAACACATTTTAAATCCAGAATTGTTTAAAACTTTTACTTCCCTGCCTTTGTCGGCACACTGTTGCACTTCATAGATCAGTGGAATAGTGTGAAACCATCAGCAGTAACGTGTATCACGTCACCAGAGGCCTCATGCATGCATAAGACAAAAAAAGTGTTCCATAGTGCCACTACTGGTAAAAAACTCCATAGGATACATTTAAGACTTCACACTTATTTGGCCGACTTTCCATGTCTCTGTTTCATTGTGATTCGTCATGGTGATTATGACCACAATAAGCTTCCCACATAAAAACGATTGTTTAATACACTGGTTATGTGAGTGGTGGGGAAAATTAAAAATAGTTGAGTCAAATCATTCAGGCTGACTCAGTGGAATTTAGAGTCTGTAATTTAGAGACGTGTCTGACTGCGGGTATAGTGTCCTCTCCTGCTGTCTCTTCCCTCAAGCTTCAACCATCTAATATATGCAGTAGATCTAATACTGTAGATACATTTGAGTAGAGCATCTTAATCCCTGAACACAGTTTTCACTTCAGTGTACTTACTTTGCCTGTGTGTTTGCAAGGGCAGGGGCGTTGTGAGGCTGCAGGACGACAGGCTGTGGCCCTGTCCCGAGCTCCTGAGCGGCATTCCTCGAGGGGACACAATGGGACAGGTCAGGGGGAAAGCACAGGTCAGAGGTCGTTGAGGTTGCGCTGGGGTTTTCACCTGCAGCACAGAAGGACAGGAGCAGAGGGATTATGCTTTAGGCTACAGCAGGACTAGAGAGATTTAAGCGATTTAAGTAACTTTGTCAGAATTAACATACACGCATCTAACATATGGCTATTGTGACAGCTTTGGTTGTGTCAAAGACAGCAACCACATGCCATTTTGATTTCATTATCACAGGAAGAATGACATTCATTTTTTCCCCCTTTCTACTGTTAAAGTGATGCTGTTTTATCTTGTGGTGTTGGTCAAAACAAAAGACATCTAATGCAGACAGTGACACTAATTATTCTGTAGTTTGAACAGGATAAAGTCATATCTACTTTTTAAAAATTCTGTTCTGATTTTGTTCTGATTTAGGTTCTGTTTCATCATCAGATCTGTGTAACTTAAATATAAGATGTGACACTGGCACCAATCAATTAGATTTGAGACACAAGGAAAGAAAACAGTAATCACATATAACACAAATGAGTTTCCCTACCAAACTTGCGCTTCATCATTGTGTATATAATTGTATTTGGATACTTCTAATCTGAGATCTTCTAAATCAAATTTACATGTACCTGATTTGGTTCACAATAATCACAGATTCTGTTAAATAATAATATTTTCTCTTCAAAAAAGCATTTGGACAGTAAAACTCTATTTCTATAAACATCTACACAGATGTTCTATTATTTTTTATCATGAAGCAAAAATAATATATTTCGATTACATTAACACTGAAGTATTTGGACATAATCTGGTGAATTGTGATTTACATTACAAAAACTGTGTTTTGGAGGCAGCACAATAACTGATGTTGTTTGTCTATTTACATTTTTAGGTCTCTTTATTTAATATGAGATAATTGTGAATGGAAGAAAAGCTTCTCCTTGATCTATTCCAGGTTAAATCATCATAACTGTGTCAACAACAACAAACACATACATATAAAACTGAAAGGCAACACATTAACATTCCTTAATTTCACAAACAACTGCTGCTTTCCCTCCAAAGCAAACATGTTCCTCTACTGAGAAACCTGGTTAGCTACATAATGAGTACAAAATCTCCTGTTCTACAAAAAACATTTGAGCAGGACAATGAACAAAGATCCTGCTCTTTGGACTCTATGTGGTTATGAGATGATTACAGAGTAAACCTTCCAGCAGACTGCTCCGTGTTTACAGTTAAAGTAAGGCTGCTTCAGACTCACGCAACCACTGATGTTTGACAAACCTCATGATTTGACCCTACATAAATCAAGGATAAACTTTTCCTCTGTTGTAACATATAAGTGTGGGGCAAACTAAAATCCATCAACATCAGTCATTAAAAAAACAATAAAGGCAGAAAATGAACAAACATGTCCACAAAATTAGGCATCAGCCAACATGTGTGAACACTTTTACATCAAAACCTTTCATCACTTTTGATGACAGGATAAAATGAGGAAAAAGGAGGTGTATTTTAAGCTGTGTTTACCTGGAAGAGAACCTTGTTGCCATCCAGGTCTTCTGTCTGCCAGCGTGTAGTGCTGATGGGGGTACAGGGGTTGGGCAACAGAGGGACTAGCTGGCCAATTTCTTCGACACTGAACTGCAGCACAGCAGAGCTGCATGGCTCCACCCGAACCCCTGGTGACAACTGCTTTAAAGCCAACTGCAGGCACAGCCCGGGCTCTACGTAGGGAGGCAAAATGAGAGCAAAGGACAGAGGTATAGCAGAAAGGAACAAATGGGAATGACATTAAAGGTCTTTTGTTAAAAGAAGAGTGGTGACATGGTGTGACATAATTTAAAGTCATTCTCTTTCACTTGTTTTAAGATTTTTTTCCAAAATATGACCGACATTTTGAATATTTCAAATCATTTCATGTTGTTCAGATAATGTCACTAGATGCAAAGATATTATGTAGAGTTGACAAATACATTTTGTGTCGCCTCACTGCCTTTTTGCTTTACTTCTTATTATAATAAAAAAACAGGTAGAAGACAGAAAGCTGGACTTGTTGAGATGAAAGTTACATTTTTCATTGCTTTATAAAACATATTATCTATGTACATTTTTTTCATATTTAGTACAGATACACACAAAACTGCATCAGAATACAATGAAATTCACTTCCAAATCATATTGCACAACAAAATTATATAAAAAATGCTAAGAGAGCATTACTTAAAATGAAAATGTATGTTTGTCTTTAAATTGTTATAGTTTTATTTACAGTAGATGTACTTGTGTTAGTCTATTGTTACTAGTAATGTGAGTGTTTATATTTGTACCAGACTCTAATGGGGATCTCGATAAATAAACAAACAAACAAACAAACAAATATATTGCTTTAGGATAATAAACACTTTAAAGGCGTACCAGTGTGGAGAGTGAACCAGCAGAAGCCTGTCTTCTGCTCCTCTGCCTGTCGCTGCAGCACCGTCTCATAGAGCCGCACAGCATCCTCATAGTTGTCATATCCACTGTACAGTGTCACACGTAGTATTTCTCCTCCACAGTGCACCGGTCGAACACCCCACACAGGCATTCCTGCACCCAGACTATAAAAGTCTCTGCTGGGCAGGAGGTAGGGCCGCATCAGGGCATTGGCCGGGGAGGTGCTGGAGGTAATGTGGATCCCTCCAGTTCGTTTGCTGCAGCTCTCGGTGTGGTGGTACTGCCAAGGTGGACACTGAAAGAAGTCCAGCACTTTGAGGATTCGCTCCTCTCCATACGCCTCATGGAGAAAGAAAGTGATGGCCAGAGAAGGGTAGCCTGAAAAGTTTTTGGCAAAGATTTATTCTCAATCAACTTTAAATAAAAACAGATGCAACTGTAACAAGGTAAGCTTGTTCTGCGATGCTCTGTTTACACCATACACAGAATAAATGTAATATTAAGTTAAGAGTGCGACATTTGAGGGGGATGTTGACATGAATGGAAAGTTAAAATGGTATAAATTCCTGTAAACATGTCTTGTTCTCACATATGGAAATTATTATTTCCCTCTTTACAGAAGAAAAATACACCTAAAGATTGTGCAATGTGGTTAAATGTTCAGACACAACAGGGTTCTACATTCCTGCTAATGAAATACTTGAGTCCTGACTGTATGAGAAGGTAAGGATCCTTACCTGCCACAGGACAGAGGCGGGCGTAGCTTCTGAAAGGGGAGGCCCTCTCTGATACATGGAAGATGCGGAGGCTTGGGCAGAGCCAGCGGAGGAGGCGATCTAGGGTGTGCTGCAGCAGCAGCGAGTCTCCAGGGTTGGCAAGAAGATGCAAGTTCATTAGTAGAATCTCCTGCTGCCGTTGGTGCCTGGCCCGGCTGGTCATGAGCTCAGCTGGGGTGAAACACAGACACACACACAATCCATGGACAGTAAGTGTACAAAGATACACCGATCAGCAGCCATATACGCGACAAACTGTGATGCACTGTGTGTTCTGGCACCTTTCTATCAGAACCAGCATCAGTTGGATCGGACCACACGGGCCAACCTTCAATCTCCAGGTGCATCAGTGAGCTGTTACCTGTCTGTGGTTATAATGTTTTGGCTGATCTGTGTATTTTAGACAGGTAAGAACATGCAAATGCTAAAACCAGACAGCACAGACGTTTTAGCAGAAGCCATAACAAGTGTCTAGTTGAACGGTTACTTACTGACTTTACACATCAAGATCGTTTTTTTTTGTCATGGAGAATATGAGTCAGTGTGTCAAAAAAAGATCTTTGGCTTCTTTGGAAAGGTACAGTCACATTAAAAAAGACAAATTCAAGACTGTGTTTTGTGTTTAGTCTAGTGCCAAAATAAACATTTTCAAACACTGATGCACAGTGTTTGAAAATGGAGAAGTCATTATTCTAGTGTGTCTCACAAGTGCAAACCTGTGACACCACCCATTGGTTTGTGGAGTACCATTTTGAAGCCTAAAGTTTGGCTTTAGTGCCGTTGCAATGTTGTTTTTTTGAAGCCAGCAGCAGTGAGATACTGCAAGTTGAGCTGCGCTCATTGGCTTCACTTAATGTCGACTTTAGCAGGAAACAACAGTGCTCGCCTGGTCACACATGTTCTAAACAGTACACTAAAATATGTTTCTGAAAGGGTGAGAAACAGGCAACACAGTATCAGAATCTTGATTCATATTTGATCAGCACTGCCTAGTCTGACAGTTTGATCTGAGTTTTGTGCAGTGCGTTGGATGGACTCACTGAGAATGACTTGTCAATCACAAGGTAGCCACACCCTAAAGCATACCCTGCTTTATCGTCTATTTTATTCTAAATGGGACCATAATTTACTAAATGAACA